CGACTTTCTTCGCACCGGGCCGAACCCAAGCCCATCTCTTGGCAACTTCTTGATGCGCGATGAGGATCAAAGACAACATTCTGCTAGGTAGCATGTACAATGGGAGTTCTGAGGTCTTCTTATTGATGTATTCCTCAGAGTGTGTTTGGCTGGTGAAATAACTTATAACAATAGGTACAACGATATTGGTGTGGACATGCCGAAAACAGATATCTTGATATTTCATTCATGGAAATATATATTGTGCCCATGCAGATGATGGATCCGTTCTCTATATTTGATCATGAACACTTGAAGCTCATTCAGAACACAGATAAGCGGGAATGAAGGTTTCGGGATTGCCTATCCTTGATATTAATCTTCTTGGCCATTTATTGTGTCATGTCTACCTCAGGGACTTCGTTGCTAAACCAGCCTGTTGTATCCTGGTCACGTGGTGACTGTCCGCAATGAATCCGTGTCAGTAAGTGCCAAGGCCCCTCCAAAGCTTGCTTTGGTTAGAAGCTTTAGGCCAACTGTTTGTCTCGAATCCTAGAGATCTGATACACCCCAACCCACATGTCCATTCTAATGCTCTCCTTGAACAATATGGTTACTGTTATGATACATCATTGTAGTCGTATAGATATCGGTGTGGATTTAGTGAAGACCGATCAAGTTGCACAGATCCGCATGACTCTGCCTACCACCTTGGGTAACCAATTCGCGGCCCGATATATTCCAAACAATTCCAAGGGTTCTCAGTGCATAGTATTGCTCATCACGCTGAGGCTCTGGCCCCGTATCAATTTGGACAGCCCTATATCGCGCATAGCTTCTTTATCCCTTTCTGTTCTAGTCTGTTAGATCATCTATAGAACACTCATTCTATACGAGCTGCCCAATCACAAAGAGATAGCTTATTAACCCCCACTGACGGCCCACCAATATACTAGTAGCCTTGTAAGCCCGACTAGAAGGTATGCACCGAGGCTGTGGCTATTGCCAGTGTTAGTGGCAGTTTACCTACAAAGTCTGCAAATTCCGAGTTTGAATGGCCGTTGCAATTGTTCGGCATGGTCTTTTTTTACTACTAGTTATGTAACTGGGTCGTTCTCTTTCTGAACTTTCCCCGCGGAATAACTCTACGATGTTCATAGTTACCGAAAACACGAATACAGACCCAGTTTAAAAAGATAGACCTGAAGATACTGCTCGATCCAGATCACAAGACCAACCATACACGTGATTACACTAGGGCCCACTTCATTACCAGAAAAGGTTGCATGTTTCCTGAAGCAGTAATCCTCAGCCACTGCCTAACCCAATGCGGCATAAGCGTTGTCCAATCAAAGTGTCCAGGTTAATTGCAATCGTTCATTGGCAGGGTGGGTTCCCTGGTTGTTTTCCTTGTTTCTCAGGATAAATTTTGCTACCCGAGCCCCAGATCTAAACCCCTTTGATTCCAATAATAACGGAAGTACTCCGGAGTAACTCTAGAGCCCCCATTTCCTCAGGATGTTATAGACTCAAGTCCCACCTCCATAAGTTGCGTTGGAATAGCGGTAATTTTGCCTGACCCTTGGAAGGCTGATATAGTGGCTGTATATGGGGAAAACATCCCAGAGGCTCCATTGAATGGGGGATATGGTCGGTGGGTGCGTATTCCCGACATCCAGGCTACCGATGATAGCGTGCCACAGTAAAAGATCATTATTAGCTGTTCAAGGTACCCTATTGAGAGAAAGATAGTTTTCTCAGGGCTGAATCTAAAGGTCATGCATGGTGGTATGTATGTACCATACCGGTCTTGTCCTGATGTATAGTCGCCTGATGAATCTAGAATCCTTCGCCATAGTTGCCGATATAGGATCGATATCGCCCCCAACCTAACATGTCTCAAATACTTACGCCTCAAGTCGGTCCCAAGCTGCTAGCCGTCCAGTAGTAAATGGACCCGATATGTTACGGTGGCATATGAGTATACAATGGTGAGAAAGCTTTTGTGAAATAACACACCTCAACAATCCGCATACACGGATGTGGTCATCTCCATTGTTGATAGTTTGAGGAATGAATGGGAATTTTGAAGGCATACTACCCCAAGTATGTATCTTTACTCATGTGCAACTTGGGATAAGTTCATTCAGGATGCAACCAACGTGAGTTCCAACTCGTACGTGGGGGCTGGGGATGGCATGGTATAGAGATTATGGAGCTCCCCGGCAACCCGGATTGTATTCCAGAGTGAGATAGCCACGGGGAGGCCCTTGAATCGGCAAAGCGGTCTTCCAGGGTCTCCGTCCATGAACACCAAATTAGCCGAACAAGCGAGCATTGCCTTGTCCGAAAAGCTATATAAGGCATGCTGTAGACCTCCATAATCCCTTGATATCTTCGCACTCAGGAGCAATTCTTCCTCATAGAAGCAATCATCGTCAATCTCTCCTCATACCCTATCCATCCGCTCCAATTTCCACCGAAAGAAATGTTCGTCAAGAAGGCATTCCTCGGCCTCGCCATGGCAATGGCACCTACCACAGTCCTTAGCCTCGACGACTTCTGGCTGGGATCCTACTCCGGCGAAGGCCTCGCCGGCACCTGGGGAAACCCTGGCTCGCTGGGTATGTGTTACTATACCATTGTCGGCAAGGGCGTGAACCAGTGTGATGCAACCCGACTGAACCCGTCGGATGGGTCCGGCGGCTGCCCTGGACAGAACGGCCAGATGCCAAATTTCTGTCACATGGCTATTGTTGGTGCTGGTGTACCCAATGGTTATGAGCTTGGTATGTATTTTGTGAACCACACGAGAAGGTTGTGTACTAAGCGACGCTCTAGATCGCAACGGGGGTAACTGTCCGATGGATAATTCCCGCTCCGATGGAACATGGTACGCTGACGTGGTCGACACCAACAATGGCAACGCAAAGGTCGGCCGTTGTGTCTATGAGTTCTGGAAAGGGCCGAACTGCGCCTCTACCGGCAGCTTCCTGACTGAGACCTTTGTTCACTGCTACCAGGACTAAGTGAGGCGCTCACAGAAAACGGCATTGGTGTGGAGGGTTTGGGGGATTTGCTTAGATTTAGGTGTGGGACCTGGGCCTTGTTGGTATGTACATGTACATACATAGACTAAAAGCGATGGTAAATGTACAACACAGTAATTGTACACAATGCAAATGTCTTATTTTAGGCAATAGATCTTTGCGACGGGGTCCTTCATACTGAAACAGGGCCCGACTTACTGTAGGAAATGTAAATGAGAAACTTGTCCGGAGATAATTAAGACCATGGATCCTGTATAGTATTCGATATAAGATACTTAGATTTGTTTTAAATGTAATCTTCCGAGAGGATTGGGGAGGATAAGCTGATGTATTGGAAGCAGAAGGTGCACCAGACTAGATTGAACTCCATCAGGAGGTGAATTGACCGGTTTATGTTCCATCGTACTCCTGTCACATGTTGGAGGTAGAATAGTGTTGTTACTGCGATCTTTTGGACATGAAATTAGCGAAGGGTAAAAGCCATCCAAACGATTGATAACTCAAGTTGGCCCGAAGTATAAACCACATATGTATCCCCAGTGGCCCGGAGGTATTGGCCCACTGAGATCGTACAATATCCATAGCTAGGACGCAATGCATACTACCGAGGTACCCATGTTATTGATCGATCAAAGCTTGTCGATTTTCTATGTAGTATCCCGCTCGGCCGGCCGAACCCCCGGTGCCAAATCGATGAAATGTCGCGACTACAAGTGGAACATGATACCCTTGATCTGCTAAAGAGCTGTGAGAATTACTACATACTACGTGATTTCTAACACGATAGGGTGCCGTGATTGGATAATAGAATGGCAATCGTCCCATGAGTCGTTGCCACTGATGCCATTGGGATACCAAGATATCCCTCTCGAGTCTCCATCCATGTAGGCAAGGAGACCCTTTTGCTTCGTCACTGCCCCTCAGATGAGATAACTAATTGGTCCATCTATAATGAGCGGACAGGGGGAGACTTATTTGCTAGAGACCTCTAGGGGACATGGGCCCCGCATTCACGTTTCGAACAATCAATGAATGGCCACGACTGGAATCAAACAACTTCAGGACTGAGGGGTACAAGAGCATCGTATGACCCCACAATAGAGCTGGCGAGATGAACACAAGTCGGGCTTGGGGCGGGGTCTGAACTTTTACTTGTGATAAGAGTGCAGGGGTTATATGCATGTCTCAGTTCCGCTGAGGGAAAACTTTGCCACGTATTTAGAATTCGTTTTCGTCAAGCTGATGATTAGCAGGAAACTGACATTATACAATAAAGTTCAATGATACTTTATTCTACATTGAAACTGGTCTATCACATACTCCGTGCTGCACGAATATGCCTATTTCGGCGGCTAGTAGTTCTGAGGGTGTCAGTGGTATCGTATACGATGAAGTGGTGCTAATACAAAGTAGGCTAATTTTTCATGTCGCCACCTTATAAATCTAGAGCACCTGGCCCATTTACGAGTGGGGATGTATTTTCAAGATGGTAGGGATAGTATGCTGTGACGGCCAATGATCCCTTTCAGTAGATAGGAGACTCCATGCGGGTCTACTATTATTAGGAGGGGTTATTATGATAGAATCAGTGTAGCGATGTTTCATCACCGTAATCTGCACCACAAACCTGTTTCCCTAGGGGGTATACCGGAGTTTGACGTCGTACCGACGAATTATAGAGTGGAAGGAGACATTTCAGTTGACGGCATCGATCACACAATAGTATACCGCACATCGAGACCATGTCATTGCCATCCATGTGAACAAGAAAAGAGGAGTTAATGACGTCTGTAGCATGGGCAAAGCCTCTGGAGATGGCGGCTGGATGAGTATAAAAGGTAACCTTCAAACCCGAGTAGTTCTTCTCTTCAGGCATTGATTCTCATGCTCAAGAAGAAACTCTAGCACATCACAAATTAAAAGCCTTTACATTTTCCGTACTGTCTATACTTGAAAGTTTGACATCGAAATATGGCTCTGGCGTACCCCGAAGGCGAGTGCTTCTTCAAGCGCTCCGCATTGAACTCCAGCAACAAGAACTACTACCAAGCCGACCGTGCGGACCACTTCTATGGCCATTTCCTTCTTGAGTTCATTTGGAATGTGCCTACTCACACGGGAGATGCCGCACGCAAAGATCATAAGCACCCGCGTTCCACATACCACCTGAATGACCTGAGTTATTGGACGCCACCGCCGATTATATCGAAGACAAATGGCCCCTACATCGGAAGCTGGTCACAGCTGCCTTTCGTTTATGGGTCGCACTACTCGAAAGGGAAACAGCGCCGTATGCAGCACAATCTCTGCACAAATGCCGACCGGCTTCAGGCGCAGATGAAGGGTGGTGCTATGGAGGTGAGCCTCGCACGTCTCTCGTCGTTTACTGACCTTAATTTACTTACAACCGCTTTCTAGTCCTGGTTCATGATCATGCCGATGCCCAAGAGGCAGGAAGGCTGGGTCTTCATTGATGTCAGTACAGCTGCTCCCAGTCACCTGTTGTTGATGCTAACTGCTCCACTTGCTTTGTATCTCAATAGCGCCTGACCAATATCCGAGGCATCTACATCCCAGTAGCACACCAAGCATCCGAAGACCATCCGGAACTTTGCACCTTTGTGCATGTCAACCTTGCTGCAGCAGACACCAATGTCAATATGTTTCATCACGCCGGCAATGCGAGCAACCCCAAAACGTTCTGGAAGCCGGTCACCCTGAGGAAGACAGTCGGTCTGCAGGATTGGGGCAGCTTGACCGTGGGGTTCAACATCAACGGCCTTGTGAATCTTCTCTCCCTACCCCGCCAGCTACGTGCCCAAAATGCCTTTACCTCGAAGAATATCATTATTGTCGATAGTGATATCGTGGCAAGCCCGAAGCTCGAGCGAAGCTTTAACGACGACACAGACTTTGACTGGGCTCAGGTTGCCCGTGCAAACTTTGGCCTGAGTATCCAATGGAAGCCTGCCCCACAAAAGCAGGACTGGTTGGAGAACTTCTTGAAGAACTCTTTGACCATTGCTGTCGGCTTCATCCCCGGCATTGGGCCAATTGCGGCTATTGCGTTCCCGTTGATCTGGACGGCTATTGCTGACCCGGACTCATTCGTGGATACCTGGAGGAATCTCTGTCCCGGGGTGGATCTGCAGCTGAAGCTCCTGGAGGCTATCAAAGATAGCGCTAAGGAGACTCGGGAATACCTACCAGATGGATGGGAGAAGACTGCCCTCGGTCCTAAGTTTCTCTCCCGTCCTCCCACCGGTGGAATGAAGGTAGCTGCTTTGGTTGCTGAACCCGGCAACGAACAGGTGGATCTGGACTCAGAGGCTCTTATCGCCAATGAACTAAAGGCCTTGATAGGCGAGTCTGCCGATGGACTTGGCAAGGCCTTGGATCCCGGGAGACCAGAGGACCAAATTGTCATCCTGGAGGCTGATATGGAGGTTGTTGGAGATGGTAACGTCGAAGGAAATGACCACCGCCTGGATGACCAGGTAGGAGCAGAGCTCGTCCCCGACCAAGTGACTCTGGATGAGGTCGGCCCCGACATGAGCTTTAGACTGGCTGAGCAAGCCCTGAAAGAGACTGCCAGGTCAGAGGATGAAAGTGAGTGGAAGAAACTCGTGGACAACGCCATGGAGACAGCCAAGGATATAGCTTCCAAGCTGCCCAGTCTACCTGGAATAGGACACAAGGATAAAGCTTCCAGCAACGACAAGCAGAATGACACTACTGAGGACCCGACTGTCAGTGATGGGCCTGTTAATGATTTCAACTGGATGGATGAATACTTCAAAGCCCTGTTTTCGGGCACTCTTCCACTCGAAGGACAGGCATGAAATAGTGCACATGCTATTCCCGAGAACAGGAACACCCCAATATTGACGGGAACTATGCATTGTCAGGAGCGGATGTTCAGCCATCGCTCCGCCTAACAGTATATTTCTTATAGTAGTTTAGTTAAAAATGTTTATGACCTGCTTACACTGATTGGAGAAGACTATAATACTATGTGAGTTGCAACTGGTACGATGCAGATTTAGTTAAAACTAAACCTGCCTTGTATTAATTCTCGAGTAAAAGAATCAACGATGCCAATATAGTGGCCAGGTGCTTCATATGGCCCTTGTTATTGACCAGCCATGGGCCCCATTTCTGGATAGACAGGAAAGGGTCGCCTGCAACGTTACCATTTTTGATATAGTCATAATATTGTCCGTTTACCTGGGCAAAAGAAAGAAATATTTGGTGCGCGTCTTGCGATATCAGGACTCGGCTTCATACGTCAGTAATTGCCATTATAAATTGGAAGTTGGATAAAACTCACTTTCCATTTAAACGTGTCTCCACATCCCCGGGAGATTGCTTTAGCCAGTCGACCATCTCGGCAGCCTCTTGCGCAGTGATTTTGGCATCTGTCGATGCGCTTTGGTCCTGTTGTACTTTCTTGACCTCTAGAAGGGCCCGAAGGTTCCTGCCCAGCCGTGTCCATAAAGCCCCGTCGGTCTCCGCGGTGTACGAGGCAGAATTAAACGTTGCCTTGAGTACAACACGCTTCATTGACCATTCAACACTGCGCGGCTTCAGAGATTCTCAATGGCTTGAAGAAACAGTACAAGTGCCGTGTTCACAATGTTTTAATCATCTGCTCCATGTTCAATATCCATTGCATTTGCAGACGTTCCATAGATGGGAGGCGCTTGTTGTGAGGATCATCAGTGTCCATTGTAATTTCATGATCTGAGCAAATCTTTTATCTCTGAGAGACAATTAAACGCCCTTGCATCTTTTGGCCTTGATTCCAAGGCTGGGGTGTTAGAGGTTCCACCTCACCCGCATCAGCACATAGCGTAATATCACACTTTTGACAATTAATCAAACTCGAGGAGGCTGGCTTGCATTGGAATCAAGACCGCAGCAACGGATCTGCGCCACGAGAAGGGGGCTGCCATAGCCGGGAGAAGTACGGTATTGACCCTCTACAAGTACTCACAGGACCCGGGTAAGGGGATTTCGAGATGCGTGTACCCAACGACCGAGAGCAAGCTGTACGCATTTCCGTTGAAACTGTAAGGTAGAAACCTGCGAGGCAACGCTGAGGATGTGTCCACAATAGAAGAGAACGCTCATACGGACCTTATTACTGGATCGTAGTGGAAGCAAGTGTTATATAGTCATATATTTAAGTTTTTATACACGTTCAAGGGCCCAGCGCCTGAGGAATACAGAGTGTGGGAAGTCACTATAAGCGAGTCACTCTATCACCATTCAATCTGGGATTAGCAAGTGAACACATGTAACATTCACACTGATTCTTCACAATATCCCTGGCTCGTGCGGTACGTGAGTGCTCGGGCTTTTGGTATTAAAATTTATGTCTTTTCCTTGCGGGTAATTCGAGATATGCAGTTCACACGAGATGCAGGCTTTGGGTATTATCATGGCCATCTACTATATGGATGTGGATATAAGTAGCTATTTGGGATATGGATGGGAGAAATGAATTACAATGTGAATTACCTGCTCTCGGCATTATGAATATTCACTGACCCTGACGGGGAATGCAGTGCAAATATGGATAGCTAGGATGTTGTCCACCGCCATTCATGTCCGAAAACCACTGGGACTACTAGTACTACCTGGATACTTGGAATTTATATTGCCCCGACCCAACCTCCCTCGTCACATTCCCATACGGCAATGTAATAACAGCGTTTGTGTTGGGCGGAACGGTGACCTCCAAGTCAAAGCTATCCCCATTCAGCTCCCACCTGACACTGACTTCACCATACGGACTGATGAAGCGAGAGTTGGCACTGGTAATATTACCTCCCGGAACGGGCGCAATCTTTATCGTTTTCCACCCAGGCTCGGCAGGAGCAAGGCCCCCAATAACTTGGTGAATCCAATCCGCAACAGACCCAAAGGCATAGTGATTGAAACTTGTCATTTCGCCAGAGTTGACAGACCCATTCTGCAAGAGGCTGTCCCAGCGTTCCCACGTCGTAGTTCCATTCTGCACCACTTGATATAGCCACGACGGGACCTTTGTTTGAAGCAGCATGCTGTAGAAGTCATCTGTGGCGCCAATCTCAGCCAAAGCAAATCCTAGGGGAGGAGTGCCCGCGAAACCAGTGCCAACCAGGTAGTCATTGTCAGCGATTATACTGCGCAAGGTATCACCGGCCGCGGATCGCTCCTCCTCGGTTGTAAAAAGGCCGAAGTGCAATCCCAAAGCATATGCTGTTTGAGTCCGGTTAGCCATCGCGCCGTTAGTCAGCCATGCCTTCCGGAATTCGTCGACTAAGTTGGTGTGCTGTTCACGGTACTTTGTCGCCAAGTCACCATGGCCAAGTGCAGTGGAGATGTTGACAAGCAGCTCAGTCATTCGCACCAAATAGGCATCGGCAACAAGGTGGGTGGCCGTGGTGGCATCACCCGGGTTGTCTGGGGGTGACTTCGGGTCTAGCCAGTCCCCGTACTGAAAGCTGTCTCTGTCCCAAAGCCCAGTATCTTCACGAGGAATACCAGTATCAATCCAGCCCCGGGCCTGCGCAAACTGCTCTGCGAGTATATCCAGGTCCCCATAAGCTTGATAATGGTTATATGGCCCAGCCACGGTGACGTCGCCCCAGACAGCCGCAGCTCCCTGCTTCGAGTCTGCGTTTGGCGGAACAATAGGGACAAAGGGTGGTACACTCATTGATCCGTTTACCTGCATCTCAGACCAAACATCGCGGTGCCAGCTTCGCCAGAACCCAGCGGTATTGTAGAGATAATCAGCAGTAGGCCCAAAGGCATGTGCATCTCCAGTCCACCCCAATCTCTCATCGCGTTGCGGGCAATCCGTTGGGATAGAAATGAAGTTGCCTCTCATTGACCATAGGACGTTCTGGTGGAATTTATTGAGGAGCGCATGGGAGCATTCAAACCAGCCAGTACGTTCCATGTCACTGTGAACAACGACGGCTGTGATGGAATTTCCGTCCAGCGGTGTCGATGTCTCCGGCCACCCGTCCACCTGTGCATACCGAAAGCCGTGAGTAGTGAACCGTGGCTCCCAAGTTTGGATCCCATTCCCGTTTAGAATAAACGAGTCGGTGGCTTTGGCAAAGCGCAGCGGGCGAAGCGCAAGTTCACCGTTTTCTAAGACTTCAGCATGGTGAAAAGTGATATTTGTGCCTCTCGGCCCGGATACCGAAATCCTAAGCCTACCAGCCACGTTCTGACCGAAATCGATGAGCGTTTTGTTTGACGGGGACTTGAAGATTCTTTGAGGCTTAACCTCCTCAACCCTCCTGACTGGTGGGCCGTCAGGGGGAGTGAGCTTCCCTTTCAGTGAGGGCAATTTCTTGACTGCCAGCCAATTGGTACCGTTGAACGATCCCGAGGACCATCCAGCAATCTGGGCCTCAAGCCGTGAGTCGTAGGTCTCCCCGTTATAAATTTCAGAAGACACTGTGGGACCGGTATTTGCCTGCCAAGATGCATCGGTCGGGATCTCGAGTTTGGTACCATCTTCCAGTGTAACAACAAGTAAGGAAAGAAGACCGATTGTGTCTCCGTAGTTATTCCTATACTGGTTACCAAAGCTAAGCATGCCAGAGAACCAACCTTCTGCGACGGTAGCACCGATTCCGTTGTTGCCTTGCTTGATAAGGTCAGTCACATCATAGGTATCGTAGACATGTCGATTATTGTATGATTGCCACCCTGGTGCCATAACGCGGTCGCCCACTGTTTGTCCGTTGATCTCAGCCTCATAGACCCCTAGTGCGGTGATATACAACCGGGCAGATTCGATTTCTTTGTCCACCGCAAATGACTTTCTAAAGTATATCGGACGCTTAGGTCCGTTCACTTCAGTCTCGCGGTCAGCAGCAATTGGGATTGCGCTACCCCAGTCCGTCTCGTTCAATAGCCCTGGCTCGACTGACGCCCAGTCAGACCATGGCGTAGAAGCTTGGTCCTGATTTCCATGGGCTCGTGCCCGGACTCTAGCCTCCTCGGCTGTCTCCAGAGCAGTGTCTGGCCATGGGACGAGAATGGAGTCGGACGAGTCAACAGAGAAAACCTGTGGCACGCCGTTTCGTAGTATCTCAATATCATAACCGGACTGTGTCCAGTTCGGTGCAACACCCTCGAATCGCCAAGAGATGCGAGGTTTGGACTCCGCAATTCCCAACGCTTCGCGGTGGTGCTCGAACGATAGCTGCGATATCGAGACTGCCATCCTTTCGAAAACAAAAAGACAAAGAAAAGACTGGTTCAGGTCAGTCTCCACATAGGGATCCCTATTGCCTGTAGACTACGAAGTGGGTATTATGATCACTGACGAGATCTGTGTTCAAATACCATTCCGAACCACACAGCAACCCTATATGACCGCATGATATTCACCCGACCACCGAAGGTCCCTGCCATCTAGCTACAGCAAATACTTACTCCGCCATGCTCAGGGTACCTCTGGAGCCGTTCTCCAATAAACACTGGGCCAATCGTTGTTCAACGCTTACCATGATGCTCTTCATTTCACCTGCCTTTGACGACTCCTCCCAGGCGTGACGGAATTTGCCGGCTTCCCTGCATGAATAATGTGGGGTATCAGTCACACAGTCTCCATCGTCCTGCGGGGAATCTGGGGAGCACCCGATGTGGGCTGTCGATCATCAGACTTCCGAGTCAGAGACTTGTTCGTTACGGTCCGATTTGTCTTGGCCATCGGGGTGCATTGAGCCGAGGGCGAGGCTGCCTCCCAATGGATTAGGTCGATTTATCGGACTTTCTGATCGCTCATAACAGGGCGTGTAGTTGAGCCAGAAAGGGCAGGAGAGAGCGGAATATGGAATTGGAGGAGCTCTGACGCTTAAAGTCACCAGCCACCTTTCATTTACTTCTGAAATGTTTTCAATATTTACTTTACTGCCGACTACATCATGCAATATCTCAGCAGTACAGAAGTCACTTCTTTATTAGGATTCCGACATACTTGAAATCCTTTCATTGAACGAAAATAGGAAGCGTAGCTGTTGTCCGGCTTGCGTAGGATAGTGTTTTGGTACTATTGATTGTTGCTTGTTTTACCATTTGGTCTGGTCCAACTTTGCAATTGTCCTGTACAAACCTGCACATTATTCAATAGTGGGATAGGAAGAGAAAGAATAGATATGAGAGGAGAAAGCCGCAGATATCGAGCTTGGTGGTGGTCTTTAACAAGGTCACCCTCCCGTTCGGCTGAAACCTGTCACTGTATTAATGTGCGGAAAGAGAACAAAACTTTGTGAACTAAGCAACAAGTGACAACCTCCATAATCTTGTACATAAAGTGCTTGCGTCATAAAGCATAGGAGCTCCGTTCTTACTGCGTGAATGGCGGTTATATTGAAATTACCCTGGCCGGGCTTCGGCATGATTAACGGAGTCTGCTCCGTACCCGAGTCGGAAGGATTTAGAAAGCTTGTCGGGTAATTCTGATACCCAGTCTTATCTTGTTGGTGGACCATGATGCATCAGTCAGACCATCTATGATAGATTGCAGCACAACCCCTCAGTCTCGACTCCACTGTTGTCTCACCACTGTGAAGCGTGTTTATATATTGCATCGAAGCGCAGCTCTAAACGCAGTGCTTGATTTTGTTCTTGTCAGAGAGTCCACACAGGTAGAAGTCGTCAAAGGTATGATTTTGGGCTTCTTAATCGCGGGCCTAGGCCAGGCAGCTGTGGCTGCAGCATCCTTACAAATCGTAAGCATTCAGTCGCGGCAGAGTTAGTATTGTTCTGATGCTAACTTAAGCATAGGTCCCTGGTGCTACGTGGACGGCGGCCAGCACCAACCAACATGTCCAGGCCCATGGTGGAGGTATAGTGCATACAAACCATCTAGCTATTCTGTAACACCGAGTTTCATAATAACGGAAATCAGGGATTATCGAAGTCGATTCGACGTACTACTGGATTGGCGAGAACAAGCTGGACGGAAGCGCCTTTCAGTCCGTCAATTGCTACTCGAGCAAAGTAGGTGCTTACTAAAAAGGCGTTTACCAAAATGATTTACATTGCATCTAATACTCTCCACGACAGAACCTGGTAGAGTGGACATTTGTTGGGGAGCTCCTTTCCCGGCAGAGCAGTGGAGACCTCGGCCCCGATCGCATCGTCGAGCGACCGAAGGTGATCTACAATGACGCCACATCGAAGTATGTATTGTGGATGCACATCGATAGCAGTGACTACGGCGAGGCAAAGACCGGTGTTGCGACATCTTCGAGCGTCTGTGGCACATATGAATATTTGTAAGTACACCTGTCCGCAGCTCGCAATGCGTCAGGTCCTGGGACTTATAGATACGTATTCAGGGGTTCGTTCCAGCCTCTCGGATATCAATCGCGAGATATGGGTCTTTATAAGGATGATGACGGTACGGGATATCTTTTAACGGAGGATGTGAGTGAACAGTCGAGTTAATGGGGAATGGTATATCAATATAACTAAACACCTCTCAGCGTCCGAATGGTCTGAGGATCAACAAACTGACAGACGATTTCACCAACGTGACCGAAACGATTCATCTCTTCGCAGAACATGTGGAGGCCCCAGCTTTATACAAACAGGACGGAGTATACTTTTTCTTTGGATCTCAGTTAACAGGTCATTCTTCCACCTCCCTTGTCCTCAAACCCATGTCGTTGGCTAACAGGTGATGTAGGATGGTGTACGTTATGACGTGTCGCCCAGCACAATGTGAGAAGCCCTGCTGACTAGTAGAGCAGCCAACAACGACAATAAATATGTTACTGCAACAAATCTCAGTGGGCCCTGGACAGACTGGGAGGACTTCGCGCCAAGTGGAGCCAACACGTTCGAGTCTCAAACGACGTTCATCCTGGGAGTCGGCGACTCTGTCATGTAAGAGTATCCAGCAAATGCACTGTAAGACAGCATATTCTAATTTCCACAGGTACATGGGTGATCGATGGGATTCTTCGAATCTCATGAGATCGACTTACATTTGGCTCCCCTTGACAATTGAAGGCACCACTGCTACACTGGTATTAAAGTCTCCCCTGGTCTAACAGGCTTCGGATATAATTTGAAATTCTAACGATGTCCACATTTGGATAGAACAACGAGACAGCCTGGGTACTACCACTTGACGGAACATGGTCCTCCGCCGGGGATGGATCCTCCTACGAAGCAGAGTCGTCCGACAATGCCCTTACAAATGGTGCCAAGATTATTTCCTGCAGCGGCTGTTCTGGCGGAAAGTCTGTCGGCTACATTGGTGGCCCTGATGATGGAACGGTGGAAATTAGCAACATAGCTAGCGAGACGTCAACAGAGACCACCATCGTGTCCGGTATGCGAATGGAAACAACTCCCAGCGCTTCGCCAATGTCACGGTCAACGGCCAATCTCATGTGCTCGCGTTTCTGCCTTCTGGAAGTGGGAATACGCCTTTCACCTCGACCCTTCATACTACACTCGACCAGGGCGACACAAACACCATCACGTTCAGTGTGTATGAGGAAGGATGGGGTAAGTTGTGTCCCTCCCTGTATGTTCATAAATAGCCAGCTAAACGGTATTGACTAGGTCCCGATCTTGATGAATTAGTTATCTCGGAGTAGACAATTGGAATGGTAGATGTTGGTGCAAGCGACAGAAAATATATTTCTTGAGTTATAACCATGTGATCACACCCTACCCTAGGATGTGGCGATAATCGGAGATATTTCGATCTCGATTGCAATTCAAGTTCATCTCTGTACGGTTGTGTATAGAATTGAAACTCATGTGGGGAAATGTGCCTAATCAATTCACGACGTAACTAACACGAGAGTTGCCCGACTTTCTCGAGATCTTCTTAACGCTAGTCGGTCCACACCGATCTGTAGTATCGACATGTGTTCCTCCACAGGGATAAACCTCGGTTCCAACAATGTTAACCACGCGGAACTTCTCCCCGGGCATCAGGCTCCGATCGGGAATCAATCGTTCGAGACCCTTTTCCCGAAACATGGCTTCATCCCACCACTCAACCTGGACCGGTCGCTTGTCGGCGATATATTCATCTACCCGTTTCTGGATCGGCTCTTTCCACTTCCCTTCGATCAGACCTTGAAATTCACAGGAAGCCGAGCCCGGAAAATGCGACGCTTTTAATTCATCAAAGTCCTTAACCTCCTTCTCCAGAAGATGCCTCACCGCAGCACCAAGGACATGGCCGGCGGTGTGAAGCCGCGAATGCAGCAGGCGCTTTTCGGCGTCGACTTCTTGTCGGACCGTCTCGCCCTGCGTAAACATGTGCGACGAACCGTCGCGGAATCGGCCGAGGTGTAGGACCTGACCTTGTCCGGTCGCATCCATGCGCACAGCGGTCACCGTAAACGTGGTTCCTGCGGGTCCTGTCATTGTGCCCACGTCGGACGGCTGGCCGCCTCCTTGGGGGTGGAAGATTGTCTTTTCTGTGACGATGACATGGTCATCATCATTTCCCGCGGGGAATAGTTGGCGGTTGGGATCCTCTAGGTCATTGAAGCCATAGATTTTTGTGACAGGTGTGTCAAGGGAGAGCAGGTTCCAGTCGTGCTGGTAGGCGAGGAACGTCCGGCTAGACGCGGCCATTGTAATTTTGCGTGCGGAAGAATGTAGCCAAGAGTAGTCACAACCTGGGTTGCGGGGTTGGCCGAGTCTCGAGTTTTTGGGCACAGATTTCGTGGGTTGGCGGACGCGGGGAAGGAGAGAATACCCACTGGCCGCAACCGGAAGGGGAACTTGGTCCAATTTCACCTCGATTGAGTCCGAGACATCAATGTGGATGCTGTAATCAAAACTCGATGGAGAGAGACTAGGGACGTGGAAGGAAGGAGATTGCGACCTTTGTGGGGCCAGTCCGTCGCCAAGGCTAGGAAATGCAGTGGTGCCTCATAAAACCAGTTGGTTAGAAAGGAGCTAACAAGGACCAGGACTCCAAGAGATCTTCACCGGTAGGTAACCGGCCCGGTGAGCATCATGAGTCGAATTGCGGGACTCACGCGGGGTAAATATGACAATCAGGGCTGTTCAACATCAAGGTTTGCTGTAAAGATGCCAGATAAACGCGGAGGCGCTATTAAGCTTACCCCAGAGTACGATGTCATTGGCGTCTGAGCTTGGTGAGCTGGTCTTACATGTAGAAACTGTACTAGAATTAGAATACCAGTCCAAACGACTCGGTCACCTCCGGCTCGAGATCAGTTGAAGAAAATGTCTAGGTGGTCATGTTATTGTATATGGGTAGCCTTGTACGATATGCTTTGGGTTCTCGCCATCTACAAAGATCGTTACATGAACTCTCATACGCGTAGGGAGTGGATAAAATCTTGGTAACGTGGTGGTTTAGCCCTACCCTTCGGAAGCATTGGCTCGAAGTAACAGACATGCAAAACGCCGGGGTTGCAAAAGGCTTGTTCCCTGTGCCGAGTGCGGCGGGTACTTCCCGTAAATTACAGCAAGAATGCTGCAAATGGACGGACTATACGAGGGCGCCAACCCGCAATCGACTTCCGGTTTGCTTCCCGGACCCATTTCCATGAAAGTCAGACAGTAATCATTATGATAAAATTGGAAAGTACAAGGAAAGATGTAGTCTCTGTCAATGTAATCAGCAATCCATTTTTCCCTCCAATAGATAGAAGCGAACCTACATATCAACGAGGTGAAATTGGCCGTTAGTAGACCGATTGCGGGAGGGATACTGCGGAAAACGGAGCGGAGTTGGTGGAGTAGGCAAAAGTGGACAACTGATCGAATTTACGGAGTATGGTCGGGAGCTCGTATAGCATTTCCCCGGATCTTGCAGTTGTGGATATCATATTCGGCTTCTTATTTGGGTAGCCACCACGATGTGGGGAGGAAATAGGCTGGCTTATATCCAATACCTCGTACGTAAACTGGGTATTGGGTAATGATGACAACTAAGAAATCAAGCCTGCTTGATAAGAGGGCACGAGATCTGCATATAGCCCTATTTCATTGTCATCCAATGGGGTAATATTATTGCTTCTATAGCTCCACATGCGTCTGTATGTATATTTGGACCTGGCCCACCCCCCAGTCAATGTATCCGACCTAGCTGCACTGGATATCTTACATTCAGCCTTCACCTCACAATTGTACATAGCTGTGAAGCATATGGTATCACGATGACTAGCACGGAACAGGAAATCAAAGAAGGCCATGATGCTAAGAACCAACCGTCGAACACTGCCGATGCCTTGGCGGGGGATGTTGAGGAAGCAAATGGTAATACCCTTAAGAGGGCCCTCGAAGGCCGACACATACAGATGATCGCTATTGTAAGTCAATGTTGTCCACACCGATGATTTCCCTACGTGCGATAAAGCTATCGATACGTATAGCAGGAATCCACTCTTGGCAGGGGATAGTCAACAAGGGTCGAACCCTACTAACTCATGGTCATCACTTACTAGGGCGGTGCAATCGGTGCAGGTCTGTTCGTTGGTTCAGGTGAAGCGCTTGCAAATGGTGGCCCTGCCTCGGTCCTGATCGGGTATCTTGTGGTTGGAGTTCTGCTGCTGTGCACAATCATGTCACTCGGGGAACTGGCCATCATGTATCCGATTAATGGAGCGTTTTACCAGTACAGCGCTCGGTTCATAGATCCTTGTTGGTTAGTGTTTGGCTCGTAGCCCCACTGACTTACTTTTGTGATAACTAACAGGCCTGATCTATACAGGGGCTTTGCAATCGGTTGGGCGTATTCGCTAGGCTGGCTTGTCACTTTGTAAGCGTTTCTGCCTTACGATTTGCGTTTTCCAGGATTGACATATTTAAACGCAGACCCTTTGAGATCACCGCGGCCAGTTTGACAATCGAATACTGGAACTCGAACTTAAACCCCGCTATCTTCGTCAGTATTTTCCTAATAGTGCTGGTCATAATTCAAGTATTTGGAGTACGTGGTTATGGAGAGAGTAAGTCATGCTCAAACCCCATCCAAAAAGAAAACGAACCCCTGAGCTCATAGCGCTGTTACAGTTGAATTCGTTCTTTCTATCATCAAGGTAGTAGCCTGTATAGGACTGATTATTCTGGGGATCATCATCAACACTGGCGGTGTCCCTGGCAGCCCGCAAGGATACATTGGTGGGAAGTATTGGCGTGATCCAGGGGCCTTTGCAAACGGGTTCAAAGGGTTCTGCGCGGTGTTTGTGAATGCGGTAAGTAAAACAGCCCTCGGCCACATCTATGTACTGACCGTTGTCAAGGCCGTAGCTTTTAGCGGCACGGAATTGGTCGGTCTCGCAGCGGCAGAGACAAAACACCCCCAGAAATCCCTTCCCACGGCCACAAAGCAGGTCCTGTGGCGCGTAACGATTTTCTACATTGTGAATCTCCTTATTGTCGGTCTCAATGTTCCATACAATAGCCCACAGTTGCTCGGTTCGGATGACGCAGCCAGCTCTGCGGGAGTCAACACCAATGCCAGTCCATTTGTGCTCGCCATTCAAGATGCTGGCATCCACGTCCTACCCTCAATCATCAACGCTGTGGTCCTGATTGCCAGTCTGAGTGTGGCAAATTCATCTACATTCGCCTCAACAAGAACATTACAAGCCCTAGCAGCTGATGGAGGTGCCCCGTCATTTTTCGCCTATATCGACAAGGCCGGACGCCCACTAGCCCCAATCGCTCTTCAAGTGCTTTTCGGCTTCCTCGCATACCTCCAGTTCGCATCATCCGGGCTTACTGTATTCAATTGGCTCCTTGCTATTGCTGGTGTCTCAACCGTGATGATGAACCTGAGCATCAACGTCGCTCACCTCCGATTTCGTCTAGCTCTCAAGGCCCAGAATCGCAGCACGGACGAGATTCCATGGAAGTCCTCGCTGGGTACAGTGGGAAGCTCCATCGGCGCTTTTCTATCCGCCATATCTCTTATCGCAATGTTTTACTCTGCGCTATACGTAAGTTCCGCCTCTACAAAACCGAGTCTTTGTTCGCCGTAGCCATCCTTGTGAAAGATAAATGCTAAATCTGTCGATTAATAGGCACCGGGTGGAGACCCTCCTAGCGCATTCAATTTCTTCCAGCAGTATCTCGCTGGATTCATCGGCGTCTTCCTGATGATTTTCTGGAAACTGTGGAATCGGCAATGGTGGGTTTTGGTCCCGCTCCGCCAGATTGATTTAGACTCTGGTAGGCGGTTTATGGAAATGGAGCAGGATACTCCAGAGGAAGCGGGAGACAATCTTCCCTGGTGGAAGAGGGCAAAACAGTCACTTTGCTGAGCGACTGTGCCGCGGTAAGATTTTCACGACGTACAATTTACAGCCGTGAATGATGTAAGAGCCGTCCCCCCAAGGACGTGACGATAGATGAGACGACGCTTGAGTCAGTGGACGATTTGTTTCGCTGACGTTAGTACTGAATCTTACTGGGATGGTTAGAGCATAGACAACATCTCATTGATATGTGTATACTGCAAGTAGAAACGCAAATTTAATCGCTTCACGATTCCTATTACACGTTCCGTATATAGCTAGAGTTTGCAAATGACCCCAGAAGCGTCGACAGTAGCAAGATGACTTCGACTAATATCTTTAATACTTTTGCAACTGTACGAAGTGTCAGTATCCGCCCCTCAGAATCGGCCCACCAACTTACCCAGCTAAAGCCATTGTGACTTTCAATTCAGTGAGAAGAATCTGGATGGCTAGCTCTACGCCCTCTTTACCATTATACTAAATAGAATGTTAATGTCAATACACTGGTCACCAGATATTCAACATACCGCTAAGCCCCACAGAGGGACACGGCCCACAAAGCAATGTTGTGCCCCAAGAGCCAGGGCCTTAAAGATGTCTGATCCTCGCCGAATACCCCCGTCGATTGCGATCGGAATTCTCCCTTCCGCGATCGGCGCGCATTCACGGAGAACGTCGATTGTGGCAGGGACACCATCCAGCTGACGGCCTCCGTGATTTGAAATAATGATGCCGTCGACCCCGTGTTCGATAGCTAGAACGACATCCTCTGGGGTGTAGATACCCTTGGCCCAAATCTTCATATTGGTAATTGAGCGGAGCCATGGGATTGCATCGCTCCATGTTATCTCGGTGTCTTCCATATTGTTAGGTTTTTCTGCAGAGGTGATGGTGCGGGAAAAGAAAAACATACCGTACTCGATATCCGGAAATTCCTCTCCCATCCCGAATGGGTTTGAAGGGTCTGGTGATAGATTAGGATACGCCATCCCATCAGGAAGTGCGAAGGTATTTCGATGCTCGTTATATCTAATCCCGAGCACAGAGCAGTCCACTGTAAGGAAAATTGCCTTGTACCCGGCAGCTAGAGAGAGAGTCAGTCTACTGTTGTCGCAAGTCGTGGAGAGCAGAGGGTACCTTCGGCACGTTTGACCATCTGCACCGCGATGCTGCGATCCTTGGGGATGGCCAGCTGGATTGCATACGGATTGTGGCCCGTACCTTGCGCAGCAACATCCTCCAACGACGTGGAAGAATATGAGGACAGAGCCATGCCAATGCCCATACTGGCTGCAGCCTGTGATGTTGCAAGCTCTCCCTCGGGATGTGCTAGCTTATGCAAGGCGGTTGGAGAAAAGGCCAACGGAAAGGTGACTTTGGATCCAAATAGCTCCGCAGAAGTATCTATCTCGGGGATCTTTACGAGGACACGGGGACGGATCTTGTACCGATCGAAGGCAGTCATGTTGTCACGCAGACTGGAAGGTTAGTTATTCTTGATAATCGTACTACTATTTACTTTGGTACAAGCCTACCTAATCATGTCCGTGGCTCCATCGTTATAATACTCGCGGTATACCTTGGGTAGTTTTCTGCTTGCCTCACGTTGGAGATCAACGATAGAAAGCACATTTTTGTCGACAACAGGAGGAACACTCATTGTTGATTGTGTTCAAATACCAGATGGAACGTGGGTTGTGCGTAGATTAGCACTGGCCTGTGAGCCTATATAATCATTCCAGATACATGCATTGCGGTGCACTCGGAGGAGCACCAGGGTAACATCGTTCAATCATAGCGTATGGCGCCAAGGGAAGGACAGTCCGACGAAGACCCCGACCCCTTAAAGCCCAGAAACGCCAATGAGTACTACATGTGGCAGGCGTTTTTCGGGTGATCGCTACGAAGGGCGTCGACATGTTTCCGTATACAATCCGTTAGATCGTGACACGTTCTAGTCCGGCACGTCTGTCTCAAGCACTTGCATCCGTTTATTTTGGATGGTGGACATCATTGAATCGCGGTATACATCATTGTCTCGATACTATGGGTGGACTTATTGTGAATCGTTACGCCTCTGGATACTAAGCGCTACTTGATCCCTCAGAACCTCAGGCTGCTGAACACGGACCAAACAACCGACAACCCAATTTATCTATTCACGCTTATGCGGAACTCCTCTCGCGTACAGCTGTTGGTAAAATCGGCTGCACCTAATGGTATTGGCAAGAACTATTGTCCTGACCAAGATGCGGGGTGTACTTATAGAGCAGTGTTCCCCGGAGCCATGCAGTTAGAACTCCAACGGAACTACCAATACAATTGGCTGTTACGGGTGGACAGGTTGTGAAATGAATAGTGGGTAGACAGTTGGAGCTAATCAATATTGCGGCGAATACGAGACAATGACCCACTTTCAATTCTCTCTTCGTAATAATATTTGCGATTAAACTTCCTACTCCCCAATACCCCCCTTCGTACCCCCAGTCCCTGTATTCTATACCTCCTTCTGGGGTAGAGTATACAATTAGAGCTGACCTTGATTTCCATGTTTACTTCTTCCAGGGCTTTTGACCCGCGGCTTGCAGGGTTGCTGTGGTTAATTTTACAGTACGCTCTCCTTGAGTATGACTGCCCTCATGCTATCAACCTGCCACATCTGAGTATGTCGACTTCCAGTAAATGCATGACAATAATTTCCTACCCAGTGTCATTTGGAATTGTAATGGTTCCTGACATATGCAGATAAGGACACGGGCTGAGGCTAATCTGAATCGGAATTCTCCTTGTTTTCGTTACCCGAACGGAGGCAGGACTCTCCGACAGATCCCAATCATTGGTCGGGCCATATCAAGCCAGCCCACACTCTCTCTACCTTCAGTTGATGACTTTCGGTTCACTGTTGCTAGCCAACTGTCAAGCCTTCTTGAAGGGCAATCTCTTCGGGTTCCCACAAACGTCAACTGGTGACAATAGACATTATATTTCCTGTGTTAATAAAACCGAAAGTCTAACTACTTACTCCTTGAATGCCACAATGCGCCTTGTTCCGATATAACCAGTTGCATTGCCAGGGATCTAGAACATGTCGGCTGTATCCCCGTATACTTAATATGGAACATTGAGCAATGCGCCTTTTGTGTTTACTATGGAGAAGAGAGGAAATAGACGGCAAATGGCATTAGGTTCCTTGCATTGAGAGCGCAAGTTCGGCACTTGACTCGGTGATAACTTTCCGCCAGGCGACTATATATTCTATACCGGGCAGGAGTTGCCGACCAATTTCGACGCGTTCACAACCCAGTGTCTGACAATCCATGTTTACCCAGATACTATATATTACCCATCATCCCACAGATAAAAGAAAACGTACCTAGCCAGGATTTAATCAATCTGCCGTATTACGACCAGAATCCCGTACACTCCATTTTCCACTTCGTAAAGTCACTCTTGCCACACTCACGTGCCATCCGGAATCCACGGGTTCCGCCGCACCCTAATAAACCCCCACTTAATCAAGACCTCACTCGATCTTATACACATGCTTCAAATACTTTGAAACCATGGCCCAAGTACTGCGCAGATATGTTGCCCCCGCGGAAACCGCTCGCCATATTGCGACAATCCTGGGGTTTCCCTCCAAGATCTCAATTGCTGCCGAGTACTACGAGGATGCATGCAAAGAAATCGCCAGTTTAGCTTCTGCGATCTCTGCTTTTGAGCGAGTGCGTCTGTACACGCGCCCAGAAGACATTCCAAAGGCACAAGCTCTGGTTACCAAAAGTATTCCCAAATTTAACGGCACAGATTCGAACATCAGCATTATTCCGTTCCGCACGAATCATTTGTGGGTCCGCGACACCGGTCCCGTCTATGTCTATGGTACTGGGGCGCATTCTAAAGAACGTTTTGCCGTCAACTTTCGATTCAGTGAATGGGGCAAGAAGGATGATATCGCCGATCATTATCGAGCTACAGATGGCCTGGACTGGCCCATTATGGGACCGGACCAGATCAAAGAGAACGCGGCTTTTGCACAGAACGTCATCGCGAGCGACGTTTGTCCAGCTCCAGTAGTTAAGGTCGAGTCCAAGGTCTGCTTAGAGGGGGGCGCATTAGTTCTAGACGGCGATGGCACCCTCCTTGTGACAGAGAGCAGCGTCCTGAACGAGAACCGCAACCCGGGTCTGTCTCGGGCTGACATCGAAGAGGAGCTGCAGCGCCTGCTGGGCGTTGAGAAGATCATCTGGTTCCCCGGGCGGAGGGATCTCGATGTCACCGATGTCCACGCAGATGCCGAGCTTAACTTTGTTCGGCCTGGTGTGGTGGTCCTCTCCAAACCACACCCCAGTGTACCCAAGCCTTGGCAAGATGTGCACGATGAGATCCGAGACATTTTGGCCCGGACAGTCGATGCAAAGGGGCGTCGCTTTGAGGTCCATATCGTGGACGAGCCGGCTCCCACTATCTTTGGATCTTTATCGTACCCTGATCCGGCAACGAATTATGTCAACTTTTACTTTGTCAATGGCGGCCTCATCCTCCCTCAATTTGGGGATCCGGTCGCGGATTCAGCGGCAGTTTCTACTTTGCAAAAGTTGTGCCCCGAACATAAAGTCACCCCGGTTCCTGTCCGTGCCCTCCCATTAGCTGGCGGTGTCGTACACTGCTCGACCCAGCCCGTGGTTGCGGTCGACGAACAGTGAAAGAGTTGTCAACTAGAAGTTGGCTTCCCCTATCGCAGACCACATATATCGCTCATCTAGCCTTGTTGGATTGAAATCCGGGCCATAACATGACCTTCCCCGCTCAATCACTATTGTATATTTATTATGCGCATATCTGATATAAAGAAGAAATTAATGAATCAATGATCCTCCAGAATGCTTAAAGCTTAGAGACAGACATCATTACCCAAGTCCTCGCACTCCAGACTAACCCCATAGGCCCTGGTCAAATGAAAATAGGTTTTCTGGTTCTTCTAATTTTAAGAGTCAATCAGTAAGACACAGGTACAAAGCATTTTGCGGGGTCCATCCCCTTCAGCATACCACGTAGGTTGACATTTAATAAGTACGTAGTTATTCAGCTATCCAATAGCCACACCCTATGCAACGAGTACTATATTATGCAAGCATTATAATCTCTTCTGATAATCTCTCCGATGTCCGTGGAATATGACTCTTAATCAAGCCCACTGGTATCCATTGCTCCCGGTCGTCGATCCATCATACTGATACTTCTCCTCCATCTCATAATACCTATTAAACCCGACCCCTTCACAAACCTCTTCATACGACAAAACCGTAGGCGGCTTGCCCACCATGAACGACCCCTTAATGGCCTCAAGGGTCTCTCGAATACTCTTCAATTTAGCTGCCACCAATGTCCAGGGATACGCAACGGCAGAGTATCCCAGCTCAGCCAGGTCTTTTGCCGAGAGGTTCTCCGTCTTCCCGCCTTCAATAATGTTCGCAAAGACAGGGAAATCGAGGTCCTTTCGTAGGCGCAACATTGTTTCACGGTCGGGAAGGGCTTCGACAAAGACACAGTCAACGCCAATCTTGATAGCCTCCCGAGCTCTTGCCAATGCTTCGTCGTAGCCGTGGATGAGACTATCGGTCCGTGCCATGATCCAAATATCGAGGCCCTCGTTACGGGCGTCGACAGCTGCGCGCCATCGGGCGTAGGCTTCGCTTCGGGAGACGACGGCTTTGCCTTTTGTGTGGCCGCAGCCTGTAGGTTGTTAGTCCCATCGTTGTCTTTCAACATGCACCTATTCTATATGAGTGGTGAACTCACGTTTTGGCCACGTCTGATCTTCAATCATAATTCCAGCTGCGCCGGCTCGTGCGAACCTAAGCCAAATCCTCAGCACACGATCATATAATTAAACAACATTAGGAAAGACAGATACATACCCCTCAACGGTCCTCCGCACATTCATCGGTCCCCCATATCCCGTATCACCATCCACAAGCACAGGCACACTAGTCGCCCTCACGACCTCCTGGACCTTGGCTGCCACTTCCTGGAAAGCGATGTACCCGGTATCCGGCAGTGCAAACGCAGAGGCCATGGCATATCCCGCAAGAAAGACGACAGGAAATCCTGCTTCTTCGCACAACTTGGAGCTCAAGGCATCGTAGCTGCAAACGTGGGCGACGATCTTGCTTGGGTCATTGTGGGCTTCGAGAACCATGCTGCGGAGTCGGGAGGCTTGGAGGGAAGGGATTTTGCCCCGACTGTTTGGGATAGTGACTGGTATGTCTTGCGTCTTACCATTGGTGTCAGTTTGCACTGGGGTGCTCGACTCAAAATGGAAGGGGTAGGGGTTTGTGTTGACGATTGACTTTGTCATTGTTGTGGTTTGTGGTTTATGCGTTGTGTTGATCAGAGAGAGCAGGACGTTGGATATATATCTCGACTACTTGATTGAGGAACGTCATTTGAAGAACGTATACTTTGTACCTTTTAAATCTACAGTGATAGCAAACCGATAACTCCGATCTCGGAGCTCATAACAGCAAAGCACTCTTTGATTGCTACTTGGAGTAATTACATCACTTCATTGTAGATAGACAGACCGTTCTTCCCGAGCTGTTTGGGTTTCGGTTCGGATAAGCGCGGTATATAGAAGATCCTGAAGAGGAGCCCCGACCGTTACTATCCGGAAAAAAAAAAAAAGGCTCATTCGCGACACATTCTCTGATGCGAACGTGGAATATTATGGGATCAATTGTTATTTTTCATTACTATATTTGCTACAAGATACACATTTCACTCGCCTCCCACCTGCGGTAAATTCAACAAGAAATCTAACGAATCCAACTCCAATCCTATAGAGACACCCTCGCCGTTGAAATTAAAAGGCGCAATATTCGGGTCAAACGGCTGAGCCCACCATGAATTCATCTCCGGCATAACAAGAGCATCGGTAGACTGTTGGGCTGAGTAGCTGCTGGGCGCATCGTGCATAAGAGGCTGCTCCCGCGGCTGTGCTTGTGTCAAGGACTCTGGTGTTTGTGCGTTATAGCGACGGTGATCTGGATGCATAGTCATGACATGGTCAGAGATAAAATTCGCCCGAAAGCGATCGACGTGTTTCTCTATCAGTGTCGCGTAGCGCAGTGAAAAGTCCATGTCGTCTGTACCGGACGACCGCAAAGCTGAGATGCATTGATCTAACGTATGGAGAGAAGCCTGTAGATCAGTATGGTGCGCCCCAAGGCTTATGGCCTTGAGGAGATAGACTGATGAAGAGGTGACACACACGAGAGTTCGGAGTGGCGCATATCGCAACATGCCTTTGGTTGCCATATCAGTGGCAATCTCCAGAACTTTACTGCTACTCAAAATAACATCACGAATAAAATCTTGATCGTGAGGTAGAACGCATCCATCGAGAGATTCACGACTGGTATCCCCAATCCAGCTAACCCCCCTTGCAACAGCCCTTTCGACCACAGCTTGAATGGCGAGGGCACTGGTGTACGCTCTGAGGTGATGGTACTCGATTAATAACAATGGCCTAAGGGATTTGTGTGTATCTGCCTCAATATTCATTAGTATGTACACTAAATCCTCGGGTGGAGAAAGACACAATACCGGTGGACTTCTCAAGCTCATCATGCCATGGAGCTAAAGACGGCGCAAAATGTTGTAATAGAGTACTGTAGTGACCGGATGATAACTGCTGTTTTACATGAGAAATTGACTGGAAGAACATGGCGGATGCTGTTTTCATCAGACGAGTCAATTCCGTCCATGACTTCATATACACCTCCCATTGCCTATTTATGAGCTCCGTTGTATTTCCTTGCGATAGGTCCGGGGTGTAGAGGATATTGTCTGGGATAGGGGAGGGGCAGCCCATCCTAACAGCCATCTGGGTAACATAGCTGTAGAGCAACTTCCGGGCTCGATGCACTCGAACAGTCTGAGAGTTGGCCAACAGGGGAGTCGTGGAGTACCCGTCGGCGAATACACCCAATTCGTAACCAAGAGTGACCGCGGCACCAAGCAGCATCCACGACATGCGCTCCGATCGCTTTGCAGGCTCAAACACATCCTCACGCCATCTAACAAGGGGAGCGTCTTCACTTGTTTGAAGTCGATTCCGGCGGTCGTATGCCGGTGAGATCAGCTCGCCGTCCCAGCCCTCTGTCTCAGGCGGGAAATGAACAGATCGTGGATTCCAGTCCGAGATCAAGATAAGAATTTCAATTGACCCAACAATCCTGGTTTTGGCGGTAGAGTACTTTTCCTGCCCGAACATAATACGGCGGATTAACAGTTCACAGTACTGCCATAACCGGTGGTGAATAAAATGGCTCCGAGAGATTCCACCAGCTCCCGGTAAAACAAAATACCGTGAAGCTATCATTAACATAGTGCAGCAGAGCATGGGCTCCTCAACTATCAACTGCTCATGGTTTTTATGATCACGATATGCCACTGTAGGGACAGGAGAAAGAGGTGCCAGATATTTATAGAACCTGGATCCGTTAGCATATACCTCTCTACGTCCAAGGCACCCCTTTCGGTGAATTGACATACAAGTCTATGTACGTCACAGCTTCTTGCGCCGTGAACCATCCTTGCCGTACAAATCGACACCGGTCCCACAGGTCCAGGACAGCTTCGCTAGGGTGTGATAGACCGGAGACCGAGACTAGCCCGCTTGCAGAGACAACTATTTGGGTGTTGTTTGTGGTCGTACCTCCCTGTTCCCTTGTCTGGGACGATGGCGATTCGCCTATATCGGGCCGAGCAGCATCGAACAGCACATCCAACGCATCGCTGGGTCGCGCCAAAATTGTCGCCATTACTCGGCCAGACAAGGATGGGTTCCCATGGGTGTCAGAATCTGTTACCTGAAGTGGGTCCGATTCAGATACGGGACTCGATATCACCCTTGGTGTCCTATCTGCGTCCTGGTGCCAAGTGTGTAACAGTCGCTCCTGGACGTTCTGTCCATGCGAGCTCTCTGGGACATGATCCTGTGCCAGTGACCATCTTGGAGCCTGTCGGTGTTTCCCCGCCTTTCGGCTCGTCTCAAACACACATTCGCGATGTTCCCGCTCGCATTTAGCACACGGGGGCTCATCACCAAGAATACATCGGACCTTGCGAGCGCGGCAACTCACACAAGCCACATAACCGCGTTTATACGTCTTGCCGCGGCCAACAGGTGCTCTGGCCGGATTGCTGGGAGGCATGTTGACCACTATCTTACAATCATTCGGGTACGGAGATGTGTCGAGGTACAAGCGGCACGGATATAAGCGGTACTAATGTGGGGTCGTCTTGGTAGATACAAAACCCCACTACCGAGTAGCCAGTGCATCGTTCCGGTATCCATTTCACTGTCTAGTGGAAGAATTACTAAATATGCTTATTTGTTGGTGTCTCGAGCTTCAGAAGGGCCGAGGTATTTACTACATCAAGTTGGCGTTACTGTGTTAGCTAGCAGGTCGTTAAGGATTTCCATAGCGCGTGTCACTCGTCATGATCTGATGGTATATCATTCAAACGCCCACATGGGCAGCCATTTGGTCATATCGCCGATTTAAGTATCGATCACCACTCACTGATCAGCAAGTCCCTGTCGTCTGATCCTGTTTTAGGCTTAGGGGTCCATATCCATCTATGATGTCTGTGGATAACTTATAGGGCCTTTGATTGGCCACATTGAGTTCCCCGTCTAGTATTCTCGTTGTTGATTGGTCATTTTGAGTACACTGCCAGTCTCTGAATAGTTACTTTGAGTACATTTCTCAGTTCTTTTCTTGCCGCCTTCAATCTCATAGCATCTCCCTTGGAGCCAGCAATCCTTGCGGTGCTCACTATAACCTATATAATCGTCATTTATGACCGGGGTGGAAGGAACCCATACCATAGGACTCTAAGTATCCGTACAACAGTTCACAAGTTGCTTTCCTCCAATTCTCTGAGCCCAGTGCTACACTATACTACAATTATCTAGTCGCCAAACATGGATTCCATCCATCTGGACCAGACCTTTCACCACTCTACCGACACGCACAGGTACCAAATCCACTGGACCTCTCTTGGTGATAATGTCTTACCACCTCTGATCTTTGTGCACGGTACCCCCTGGTCGTCCCGTGTCTGGGATACCTACGCACGATCATTTGCCAGATATTTCCACGTCTATCTGTTCGACAACCCCGGGTTTGGCGAGAGTCCTCTTGGCCACCCACTCCCGGGCAAGGAGGACGCCATTACTAAAGACGTCGCCTTGGATGCCGATCTGGCGCAGCAGTCAGAGGCCTTTGCTGCGCTCTATCACGACTGGTCTCGCGACTGGAAGCATGAAAAGGCTCATGTCGTCGCACATGATCATGGAGGGCTGATGGCTTTACGGGCTCATATATTGCATAGCTGCGAGTATGCTAGCCTGTGTCTGATTAATGTGGTTGCGTTGGGGCCATTCGGTCAGCCGTTGTTTAAATTGGTCGCGGAGAATGAGGAGGTGTTTACTGCCTTGCCTGGCCCGGTTTTTGAAGGTGTTGTGGAAGCTTATATTCGAGACGCGGCATATACTGAGTTGGGGAAGGAGACGATGGACAAGCTGAAAAGGCCGTGGGTCAGGAGTGAGGAAGGGAGGAAGGGCTTTGTGAGGCAGATGGTGCAGGCAAATAGCCGCCACACCGGTGAAGTTGAGAGCAGGTATTCGGAAGTCGGCAAGAAGATACCAGTGAGGATTATTTGGGGCAAGGAGGATAGGTGGATTCCGGTGGATACTGCAGACAGACTGAAGGAGAAGCTGTGTGCTAGAGACGTGGTAGTGATTGAAGAAGCGGGACATCTAGTGATGTACGACCAGGGAGGAAAGCTAGGTGCTGAGTTGGGCTGGTGGCTGCGTTCTTTCAGCCAGGGATAGGAGTGATACCATATGTATGGAAACATACGCCAATTGAAGAATGGCTTGCCCTTTATTTGAACTAGGTGGAATTTTCGTATGTGGGACATGTATGTTTTGTTTCCATCATTCAGCATGCATCTTAAATCGAAACTAGCCCTGCTATAGAGATATTCAATCCGGACAAGCACCAACAGAGAATGTAATAACATCAATGGAGGTATTGATGTTGCTCTATTTTCGCCTTTGCCTTTCTAGTTCTTCAAGTCTAGATGGGACGCATAACATACGCACCAATTGACTTATCACCGAGGCCAGATCTCCGACGAGACAGGACAGACGACGATAGCGAAACGTGGACACGTGTTCTATTTTCCCTGTGCCAGTAAGGACTAGCTCAGGGCCGCTTTTTACTCACTGATGAACAACAGAATATAGGATCAGAGAAAATAAAATATATGTTCAGCACTTCCAAAGTAACTACGAGATATTGCATAATAATACGAGTGTAGTGTATCCTAGTCCATAAACTCAATCGATGTCCTGATTGTTAAACTGACTTAAACTTCTAATTGCGCAGATTGTTTGGGTTTTTGAATAGCTTCATTTGGGAAGGCGCCTAGAAACCTTACTGATATGGCCGATCGCCTGTGGGTTATGATACCTTCGAAAATGACTAATAACAGATAGCCTATTGAAGAAAATTCCCCCATCTGTATTGTAGCTATATATACCTGCCAGCTGCCTAATGGGCCAGAGGTGCCCAGGAGCTCTCAAGTATCCGAACTTGGCGTTGTCACTTATTATATACCAACCATGTCGCACGTGCTTGCAAGCGGGTACGCCAGCCCAACTACCTCAAAGCACACGAGCTTGTCTTACCCCCAAAGCAGACAACAAAAGCTGGTCGAGATCAGACCGAAAGGTACGTGACTCAAAGGACACATTCATGGGATGGCAGTCAGTATGAGAATCAGGCGACATCAACATGATAACACGAGTTCAGGACCAGGCTCAGCAAACATCCTAGCAGTGTCTAATTCGGCTAAATGTCGGAAGAGGCAACATGCTGACGCCCAGAAGTGCCAACGGGATCGCATGAAAGTTGCGCTGGACCGAATGGCGCGCATAATGAGGATTGGAGGCGTGGGGGATGAGGGGACGAGTGGCACGAAGGTGTGCATGCCAAAGGCCCAGCCAATCCCATGATGCAACCGATGTCGTGCTAACTTGGAGGATTCTGATCAGGCAAGACTACTCGAGACAGCGGTGGAGTATATCCAACGCCTCCAGGACCAGGTCGAGGAGCTGAGAGAGTCTTGTAACTCTGGGCACGCGACATTACCAATTTCAGACTCAATATCCGGGCATGTTGAACAGTGCGCCTGATGCCAACAGCCAATGCAGACCGGAACTGGCGTTTAATTCCTCGGGTGTAGGTTCAAATGAAGCCAATGAAAAAGCTGTACTCGAGCATCAGATGCCAGCTAGGGCTATAAGAGGGTAGCGATAGCAGGTGGAATCAGATACACCCATTCCGCCAAGTACCAACTTGAATAATTTCTCACCCAGTCAAACTATGCTAAACGGTTTTACGCTTGCTTCCATGATTAATTCGTGGCCAAGAGACTGCGATTGTGCCAATGGGAGCCGTGAGGTTGGGCACATGGATCGTATCCGCACTGTTCCCAGCATTTGCCCGCACATTAGCGTATTTGTGGCGTCGCTCGCAAGCAGGCGAGTCGCTGAGGCCACAGCAGGCTTGGCGATACTGGTAATTAGACTGTCGGGCACGTGCTGGTCTGCGGAGTTGGATTAGTCGGCGGACAGTCAGTGGAGGAACGCTTGGCAGCTCGGCGGAGCCGGACTGTCTTGGGTCTCTTGGCATTATCATTGTATGTAGACTTCGCTCAGGAGGCGCAGCAAGACAGCAATAGTGCTAGGGCAAATATAAAGGCCTGTTCCGGATCGCTATATTGTCCTTCCCTTCCTGATCTGCCATCAACATCCCGAAAAGGTGAAGTTTCACCTTGAAATCTCTCGTGCTGTGTGACATCCGCCAAGATGGCTCTTCACCAGTACGATTACATCTTCGCGATTGGCACAATATTCGCCTTCCTGGATGCCTGGAATATCGGTGCCAATGATGCCGCCAACTCCTGGGCGACGTCTGTTTCGTCGCGTTCGATCAAGCTCTGGCAGGCCTTGATCCTGGGATCTATCATGGAGTTTGCTGGAGCGTAAGCTTACCACTGGCCTATTATTGAGTTCTGACTTTTGGACCTTGGGATAACGATATGATTCTATAGTGTCGGTGTAGGAGACAGTGTCTCTGATACGATCCGGACAAAAATCGTCAAGGTCGATTTATTCGCCGAAAATCCCCCGCTCCTGATGCTTGGAATGTGCTGCGCAGTGGTTGGCTCAGCTATATACCTCAGTATCTGTACAAAGATTGGTCTCCCGGTGTCCACAACTCATTCTATCCTGGGAGGAATCCTGGGAATGGGCATTGCTCTTCTTGGAGCCGATAATATAATCTGGTGGGGTGGTGATATCAATTCTGGCGTTGTCCAGGTGTTCCTTGCCTGGATTATCGCACCTCTGTTGGCCGGTGTGGCTGCTTCGTTGATCTTCTTGATCACCAAATATGGCATCCTGCTGCGGAGCAACTCTGCACTCAAGGCGTTGTACACTGTTCCGTTCTACTTCCTCCTGACCTCCGCCCTTCTTACCAGTATGTTTGGCCCTTGCCCTTACAACCTTCCTGACTCGATTCCTGACAAGTCACAGTGCTTATCGTCTGGAAGGGCGGTAAAAGCAGAATTGAGCTGGGGGGTGCTGAGATTGCTGGCACTGTGGTTGGTGTTGGTGCTGGTGTCTCTGTTCTGTCTGCTGTCTTCCTTTGCCCCTGGCTCTACCGCCGGGTTATCCTGAGCGACTGGCAACTCACGCCCTGGCATATCATCCAAGGCCCTCTTCTCCTGCGCCGTGGTGAAGTGCCTCCTCGCCCTGCTCATGTGAAGGCTGTTCGCAACTATTATGAAGGTCACAAAACCATGCAGGAACTACAAGCCAACCGATCGGGCGATGTCGAAAACAATAGTGAACATTCCTCTCCCGACCTCAAGGGAGAGCCCCACGCTACTTCAAGCTCGGGTGATGGTGCAGACCATGCGGGTGGTGATGTTATCAACGTCTGCGGTCCCCGTCCTGAGGGAGTCTGGTACACCCCTGCGGTTATGTACTGGCTGTTCAAGAAGGCCCTCTTCCGTGGTCTTGAGCAGGACGTTGTTAGCGCCCAGAAGAAGGACAGCAAGCTTGCGGGTGACCTCGAAAAGACCCACGCACACTCTACCCACTATGATAACGAAGCAGAGTACATGTTTTCCTTCCTCCAGATCTTGACGGCCTGTACGGCTGCCTTCACCCATGGTGCCAATGATGTTGCTAAGTGAGCTTTTCCCGCTTTCGCTACACCAGCAATGGACCGATGCTAACTATTCCCAGTGCTGTTGGCCCATATGCCACCATCTATGCTATTTGGAAAAGTGGCGCCCTTGACGGCGCTAAGACTCCTGTCCCCATCTGGATTCTGTAAGTCTCATTGGTTGAAATGTCAGAAAGTCCACCTTGCTAACCCATATCCTGCAGTGTATTCGGTGGTGCTGCCATCGCCATTGGTATCTGGACATACGGCTATCATATCATGAGCTTTCTCGGTAACCGACTGACCCTTCACTCTCCCTCCCGTGGTTTCTCTATGGAACTCGGTGCGGCTATCGCTGTGATCATCGCCACCCGGCTAAGTATGTTATCTCTCTTTCCCCCTAAGCGTCAGTGTCTAACCTCTTGTGCCTGCAGAGCTCCCCGTCTCCACCACACAGTGTATCACCGGCTCTACAGTGGGTGTTGGCCTGTGCAACGGCACCTGGAGAACGATCAACTGGAGAATGGTAGCCTGGATCTACATGGGTTGGATCATCACCCTCCCTTGCGCCGCGATCATTTCCGGCTGTTTAGTTGGCATCATCGTGAACGCGCCTCGCTGGGGTATGCCCAACTAGCCCAGCTCAGATCGTGAGCTTCCTTACACGTCAGCGTGGTTTGGCCTATTGACTGTGTTCCCTCCGGCCAAACCTACCTCATATATCTTTCTTTTGTCTATTTCTCTCTGTGGTTAGCGCGGTACGAGAATCGTGATTCGCCAAAATACGCTACCACAATATACCTCCACTATACAGTTAATCTCGGCTTTATATAAAGGATAAATTAATATAAAATTTTCAGGCATCCGTTTATTACAGTACACTGCCTAGCATTGTTGTTGTAGAAAACATTGTGATCACGAATCGCTCACTACCTGTACCACAGGTATAAATATTCCAAAGCCTCATGCAGACTGGGGGCAACAACATAATGTCCTCCACTCAGGTCAAAAGGCGAAAGTGGTTATGCTTATCGCCCACAGCACTAACGTCAATAGGACCATCGCCCTGTGGCACAGGCCCGAACTCCCGATCTCTACGTCTGTTCTCCGCGGCATAGGAGAAATGGAGGACCAATCCAACGGGGACAATAATACCCGTGAGGCCAGAGCCAATAGCCGTTCCCTTGACGAAGTATGGTCTATCATGTGTTAGTACATATCAATAATGATATTGAGAGGCGGGTCTTCAACAAGGGGTAGCGAAGGAAACGTACGCAGCGCTATCGGGATACATAAAGGAGGCGAGGAATGAAGAACATTGCCCGATAATAGCCAGCAATGACATCCCAATTCCCTTCTTCGTGTCCCCGGCATTGTTATTAAGCATCCAGGTCATGTTGATCGCCAAGGCAGGGAAGATCCCACAGCTTGTCAGCCAGATGGCTACGTACCGCACGGCAGTTCCCGTCTGTGTGGCTAACAGGGCATAGCCCACGGTCGCAACACTGGCACATAGGGCCAGCATCCAGCCGCGCGAGCCGTAGCGGTCTGAGAGCCAGGCAACAAGTATGCTGGATAGAAACGCCCCGAAATAAGGTGGTGCCGTAAGGCCTTGTGCCTGTACCGAATCATAGCCCATCTCATGAACAATAGTCGGAAGGAAGTTGGATAGCCCGGCGAAGGAATAGTTGCAGCAGAAATGGAGACAAGCGTGGCAGTAGTTCTTATAGTCTGTCAGTCCGGCGAATAGCTGAGCTTTGGAGAGTGAGGTCTTGCGCGTTGTGTCGCGGGTTTCCATGCGTTCTACTGCGAACGTACGTTCTTCGTTGCTGAGGAACTTTGCCGTCGAGGGAGAATCCATGAGTAGAAACCAGACCAAGGGAGCCATTACAACTGACGGCGACCCCTCTAACATAATATAATTAGCATTTAATCCAACTGAACCTGCATACTTAGATCTAGGTCATGTACCAATCAAGAATATCAACCTCCAGGGCTCCATGTGGGAGTTGATTTGGGAAATTCCATAAGCAATTGCGCCTGCAATGCAGTTTGCAATCGGGCTGGATCCAAGAAGGATAGACACACGTGTACCCAGTTCGTGACGCTTATAGCATAGCGACAGGTAGTACGGGACACCAGCACCAAATCCTGCCTCCAGGATACCCAGCCCGACTCGGCAGGCGACTAACCCTGCCATGTTATGGACAAGTCCTGAACACATCGCGCAAACGCCCCACCTGCGATTGCCAGTTAGCTGTTTCGTCGAGATCAACCATATCAGTCAGTCCCTTTCATGCGTTGGACTTACAGCACACATAAAACTGTCACGTAGATGTGGGCTGGGAAAATCTTCCAGCATAGAACTAGCCACTCTAGGCAGGTGTATGTAATGTAAAAGGAGTTGAGTACCCATGACCACTATCCTATAGTGTTATCAATAGCTCAGAACTATTGCGTGGACAATTGACATGCCTGATAGCTGGTGAGGCCAAGGTCCTCCTGTGCCCCCGCAGTCTTTGCATTGCCGATATTTCCACGGTCAAGGTACGAAATAACATACAAGACCCACACAAGGGGCAGTACCCAGATATCATACTGTAGTGATATGTGAGCAGAATGCTAACCTCCAGCATGCGGTTGACCTACCTTGCGAACAATACGGGCATTCAATAATTGCATTTGCTGCCTGTGCTCCGCAGTATAGTTCTCTTCGGCGTCGATTTTCATTTGATCCATATTCTCCACATGACTGGATGAGGCCACATTTTGTTCATCTGTTGTCGCCGCCATGGCCATACTGGAGTGGGTAAAGGATGGTCTGCAAGAAAAAGAGTCTACGTGTATTAAAGATAGGCGTTAGACGACAGGCTTCATGGGGAGCTTTGTTCTGATAGATCTTTCAGCGAAGCGCAACTTGGTGCTGATTGTTTATCACGAAGCGATTATGTCAAGGGAGAAAGTAGTCCCATTTTCTATCGAGTTATGCATGAGGCCCTACTTATACTACCCGGGTAACAACGCATTCCAGCTGAGAACACAGACATCAAACGCTAGACGCAAACTGTATTTCCCCAGACCCCGCCATCTGGACGTTTGGTGGTTTCCGGTGGCTGTAATGTCTGCATAGTTAAACTCGGGTACTATGGTTTTAGAATAACCTTTTTGAAGTATGGTAAAGCTATGGTTGATCCATAGTAGTTAGGGTACATGTCCAATAAACTACGGTAATTAAGCCCTATTTTTATATTCAGTTACGATAAAGATATATCAAGTTTATATATTATACTCCGACTATTCAGACCTCACTATAGTTTTTCTAAAATATCGTTTATCTATAATGTTATACAGGAAGTACGCCCACGATAATGGGTTGGTATAGCAAAAATATGGTTACCCGAAACAACCGATTTCCTGCAAGGCGGACTTTCTCCTTACCCCAGATATTCCCCACACGAGCTGGCTACAGAAAACGGCAGTGATCGTGCCTTGGGGTACCCACCTGGAGGTTAATTGTATGCTAATTCGTATTGCCAAAAGAGGGGAAGCTCATTAGCAGAGCGCCTCGGACAGACGCGGACTTTAACGGTTGACTGAGCTCCTACGGTTATGTGAGGGCCGATCGGCTGACCAAAGGGTATAGCTACAGGGCGCCATATTCATAAGTTTCGTTCTCGGGGAGACACTGGCTAGTACTAGTCTAGGGTTCACTGTTGCGGTGTGTCATGGTAAAATGTACTAATCCTTCCAACCCAGCCTCTTTGCCACGAATTTGACAGCATACACAAGGCCCAACAAAACCGGAACCTCGATAAGCGGCCCAACAGTCGAAGCAAGGGCCTGATTACTATCCGCCCCAAAAGTAGCAACAGCAACAGCAATCGCCAACTCAAAATTATTACTAGCAGCTGTAAAGCTCTGTGTCGTCGCAAGCTTATACCCAAAACCCAACTTATACGTCACAAATAGCGTCAAAAAGAATATAACCGCAAAGTAAACAATCAGTGGCGCAGCCACGCGGATCACAGAGACAATCTGATGAACAACCTGACGGCCTTGCGATGCGAACAGCACTAAGATCGTGAATAGAAGGCCAATAAGGGACCAGGGGCTGGCCCATTTTAGAAATATCTCGTCGTACCATTGGGGACTTGTCGCCCAACGGAGAGTCAAGCGCGTGAGAATTGCTGCGCCCAGCGGAATGCCGAGAAATACAGCGACGCTTTTGGCGGCTGTGGAATATTCAAAAACTATGCTATCCCCGCTGATGATCTGGATAAAGAAGACGCCCATGGGAGCGAAGAGGACAATTTGGAGAAGGGAGTTAATGGCGACGAGGATGGCACAGTATTCGTCGTCGCCGCCCGCCAGGCCGGTCCAAATTAGGACCTAGGGATTCGTTAGTATTTTCAAGCACAACAATGATGTTTCGTTTTGTTGGCGACGTGTGACTCACCATGGCGATGCATCGTGCTAGTCCGACCAGGATGAGCCCCTGCCGTAGCTCTGGTTCGTCTGGGAGAAAAGCCCAGGCAAGCGCCAACTAGAGTATTCATGTCAGTGATTAATTCATTACTTGGAGAGGTAGTGAAAAGTTTACCATGAAAAATGGAGCAACAATCCAATTAACAACAATACTGAACGCAATCTGGATCCATATCTGACGGGTTTTAAAAACATGATGCAAGCTCTCATACCGCACTTTGCAGAGAATGGGATACATCATAACAAGCAGGCCAACAGCTACCAAATATTCGTTAGCATGTGTAATTAGATAATCCCAAGTATCAGTAGTATACCTTACCGATAGGAACTGAAACCCCCACAAACTTCCCTTTTTGCAACGCAGGCCCAGTGCTGGGAACGAAGTTTCCCAAAATAATGCCTATAGCCATAGCCAGGAAGATCCATACCGCGAGAAACCGGTCTAACAGGCCGAGGTTTTTGAAAGCAGAAATTTTTTTTGGCGCTGAGTCTGACGATTTCGCATCTGCCTGTTTTTCCACGTCGGGCGTGGAAAGCGTTTGGGCTGCAGCACAAGCTGTACTTCGGTTTTGATGCATCTTAGGATGGTTCTTCCCAAGATCAAATTCTGTGAAGCTAGACAGCTGGCACAAATTGATTGATAAGTGGCTCGCCGTGGCCCTCGGGCAATAGTCCTATGTCAATTGACACTAGATATATTGGCCTGTGACTTTGTTATTGTCTGAATAACAAAAGCATTTAGGCGTACTGTAGCTGCCTTGATGTATATTAATTTATAGGGTAGTAGAGCAATGAAAGGTGTATTTATATGGAGTGGCCATCTTTTGATGCTCTTCTATTCACTTTGGGAGAATTATGACCATAATAGGGAGGTGCGCCTCAGAATGTCACTGGCGAATGCTGATTGGTCGAATAGAGTGTTAGACCGAATATCGGAGCGGTTAGATATACTATTTGTAACCAATCATATAGCCTGAGTGACACTCTTGGGTAGTCATAGTTTGGATTGACCAAAATTAGCCCTAAGATGGTTTTTGCAGCGCATCGCGGATCTAGTGTGGGTCTGGGGCGGTTTTCTGGCCTTGGAAACTCGGTTCCTCCCGTGCCCAATCAGAGCACGGGAGTGACAAACTCTATGCCCTAGCTCGAGCCTAACTGGCGTAGCACGAGAGTATATTATGGCCAGCTGAACCCCGGCATCAATGGACGAATCGAATTTACGACCAGCTCTACTGTTCGAGTAACCTCCTTAGACTCTGTCGGTGAGAATGCAAATTTACCACTCTAGCTGAATAGTCACTGAATTAGACGCTTACAGACCCCCTTCCTTGCAGTCATTGACGGCTGCGAGGACAACAGTATTCATATTTCTTGCTTCCTTTTTACCAGCCGACTCACTACAACCGCCGAGCCTACCAATAAAGGTGACAATGGCAGACAAGCCCAGCATCTTGTTCGTTTGCGTCCACAACGCCGGTCGCTCCCAAATGGCCGCGGGCTACCTCACTCACCTTGCTGGCGACGCTATTGAAGTTCGCTCCGCCGGCTCAGCCCCAGCCACCTCCGTTAATCCGTTCGTCATCGAAGCTATGCGCGAAGAGGGTATCGACCTCACCAATCAGAGACCTAAGATCCTCACTCCCGACGCTGTCCAAGATAGCGATATCGTAATCACCATGGGGTGTGGGGATGCCTGCCCCTTCTTCTCCGGCAAACGCTATCTCGACTGGCAACTTGATGACCCTGCTGGGCAAGGCCTTGATGCTGTCCGCCTAATCCGCGACGAAATCCGTTGCCGCGTTGAGAAACTTATTGCCGAACTCCGGCTGGCTATATGAACCTGCTTTTGAAGCCCAACATACTGTCCCATCTTAGTGTTGCTCCGTCTAACATAGGATATCAAAGGTTATTTTGTACAGCATGTAACAGGCTCTTGAAACCAAGACCCAGATGCCTAGAAAAGCGTCCCATCTACCAATATCTTACTGGCCTATTCAAATAGTTATGAAATGTGGACAACTCGTAACAGTGCAGGCATGCTATAACCAAGGGGGAAAAGAAAAAAGAAAACCGAGAGCAGAAAGGAAATGACAACAGACCTCAGCAGATTGGCGTTATAGTGCAAAGCTGCGAGGGAGATGAGTATAGCTTTTTCAATCAAATCCAGTAGAGCAATATGACGTCCTGCAAGAGCTGCCGCCGCTTTTCCTGAATGGAATGATGCCATGCAATAGAGTAAGACTTGCAATATTTTACTCATTCCCGCATCATAAATATCCGCTGTGGTAGGCAAAATGTATCTGCTATATTATATCACTCAAGATTTGTGAAGCGTAAATCATAGAGCTTATGCAACCATTTGGAAAGACATCTCGCGCAGAACCTCGCTGAAAACCCGCCATAACGCCTCGTAGACTGCATGTATATATCTGTCTCTGAGCCGACATAATTATAGAAAAGCTCAAAAATAAATATCACTCATATTTGCTGGTCGACCAAACAAAAGAAACAGACCGAAAGCGTTATTCCAAACAAATCTATTCTATTGGCTAACTACATCCTCTCAGAGCTGGACGCCTCCGGTCCCACATATTATATACAGCCACGCAACCCTCAACTAACTAACCTTCTCATTACTATACTGAATTTGTCTTTATGCCCCCTGCCCTCATCTTGTCCCGTTCATCTTATTCTCCTCCCGTTCACTGGACCGATCACCAAAAAGTTCTAGGTGAGGACGCATAAGGATAGTATACTTCACAAACTCCTCCATGCAATCCACCAGCCGGTCGCGGTTACTACTAGACATCAGTCTCTGATCTCCCGGTTGACCCTCGTCAGGAAAATGGGTATACGCCCGGGGGATAGACGACTGGTTTGGGATAGTAAACATGCGCATCTACCGGCCGAGAATCCGCAGGGAGTTGACGGCGTTGAATGATTGCGATCCGCCGCACTCCTGCGCAATGGCAAGAGTCCGGCCTTGTGTGGGATGAACACTACCGGTGGTAAGCGGGATCCAATGAATCTGATTATGATATATTAGTATGGTGGTGAGTCGATGTCTGCTTGTCCATTGCAAAGAATGAGTGGGCGGAACCAAAACTCTGCAAGTATGTCACTGGTGAATGTTCATTGGATGACGCCGCAGACGGTAGTAGACAATTAACGGATCATTTTGGCACATCATGGATGCTTCTCCACACTCGCCCCAGGGGTCTTCACCGCCCTGAAGGCCCCTGGGCGAGTACTCATTTAATCCTCTGAAATACGCGATCGCCACCACATCTCCGTCGCAAGAAAACTGCTGTTGACGCCCCTGATCAACCTATTCCTGGCTTGTATATAATTGCTGGCATCAGCCAACTATACTCAGATTGTCGTTAGCACTGACATCGGAAAAGTATATCTTTAGCAAAATCTTACATCTTGGTACAGCAGCACACCTCTCGGCCGTGTTAACGTGACAACCATGAAGACCAATAGTTTAAATAAACGGACGATAACAGTGAAGGTCAGCAATTCCATGAGAGGCAAGATATATCCTTCAGTGCAGTATGTAGAGACTAACAACATCCCAGACTGATCAAATACCGCCATCACTACGTATCCGCGACAACCAGCGACGTTCGCGTGCACGCCGCAGAGAATATATCCAAGATCTTGAGGAACGCCTACACAAGTTCGAGGCTCTGGGCGTTCAGGCGACACGAGAAGTCCAAGCTGCGGGTCGAAAGGTGGCAGTGGAGAATACTCTCCTCCGGTCGCTGCTCAAACTGCGTGGTGTTTCCGACCGGGACGTTCAGGAATACTTGACAGCACACACAGCGAATATTTTTCTCCCAAAACTTCACTCGGACGCTGTACTAGAAGCGCGATTGCCCCCATGGAAACCTTCAAGTCTAAACACAGTCCGAGAGGGTTCCTCGCAGTTCAGCTCACTTAATCCCGAATGCAATGACCCCTTGCATGAGATGAACGATACTGAGTCTACCCCATCACTCTTGAGCCGAGCTATCAATCAACAGGTGATTATATCCGAGAACCAAATTTCCGATAGGGAGCAGCGTGTACCAGTCGACTCTCCCACTCATGGTACATCCAGATTACAGTCACCCAGCAGGAACCAGGGTTCAGGGCAGGCTACTCCATGCGAAACTGCAGCCGAGATCATCATGTCTATTCGAGACTACTCCGATGCGCGGGATGTGCGCTCGGAACTAGGGTGTCAGTCAACATCCAACTGCATGGTGAGGAACATGGATATTTTTCACCTACTAGATAAACGATAACGCGGTTAGATATTGAATTGACATTAATTTGATATAATTATTGCGGTAACCTTGTACACATTTGTTATGAAACTATGGAAATGGGGTTTTCCAAGCCATACGCCGCAAGTGCATTCTTACTAACACGGGATTCTCAGAATAAAATTCTCCTATAGAACAATATGCAAGGCAGCTTATCTAGGCCGTGATAGCATAGATCTGAAAAGAACCTGGATAGATGGTCAATAGGGTCAATAGCGCAATTAAACCAGGATGGAGGGCCATAGAGGATCAGTAACTCACTGATCCACTTATTAAAATCTAAATTCGTAATATCACTTGTACCGCCACAATACAAGTTTTGAGGTAAATATAAAGACCCTTTATAGAGATTAAGATCCAACATCGCATCAATAATAAATATGCCTAGTATTAAGTTAATACCCAAGGCTCTCTATATAACAGTGTACATACTTTTAAATTTAGTTTATCTAAGATATTCCTTGTACTTCCTTATCTAACTAGTACTAGTAATATATCTAATATATAGCGCTATATTTTTAGTGATATAATCCAGGAATAGTTCTCTAGCTATATTGTTACGGTTATCCGCGAGTCGTGGATAAGAGCTGATAACAATATGCAACGAGGAACAAGTGAGACTAGCCATTGGGAGATATAGAGACAACAAATATTACTACTATAATTAAAATACTTTGCGGCCATGTGCTGGAAAGGTCCGATTTATATCTCAATGAGATAACCATATTTTCAGCACTCGCCCCAGGGGCCCTCACCGCCCTCAGTAGTTAAGCAACAATTCACGTCAAAAAGATAATTTTCAATGTTCTAGACACTGAGCTTGGTAAACGCTCGAAACTTCCGACATCGGCCTTCACGAGTTCGGTCCCAAGGTTTGCTTTGTTTATTGCATGTCAAGCGTAGAAGTAATTATAGCGATTGTCTCTGATAGCAGGAATATGTAATTCAGATGTACTCGCTTGGTTGGGAGCTCTGTGTATCATATCCCGTTGCTAATAGCGAATAACAAATACGTAGATATCTGAGTAGGACTGATATAAGAGTAGTATGCACCGACAAAAGTAACCAAAGCGTAGATAGGGAGTTAGTTGAATAGGGATTCTATATCTCAGTGCTTGCATCCAGAGCATGTATGCTGGATGTATCCCAGCAAAACACAATACTTCTAGTCTGGAGCGCTAACAAAGTGGTCATCATTCTAGAACTAGTACATCTCAGTATAAAAGACACACTATCTTGGTTGCTTTCCCACTGCGTACTGTAATACTCTAGAAACAAGACACAGGCCCAGGGGAACCAGTTGGTCAGATGATACGTATTGGCAAAACCTGCTCTTAGTCCATCGGCATTGTAAATATTAAACAAGAACATTGACGCAAAAAGCAGGATTTGATAGAGCAACATATAATGCTACTACCGCTGTTAATGCTTGCATATGCGATTATGTAGCTACATGTAATGAGGTGGCAGATGGTCAGACACACATTGGTCGAAGGAAACACTATCATGTAACCAGGCGTGGCTTACTCGATCACTTTCTACCTACTGACATAGCCCTACTCAAGGGCAGCAAATACCCGACGGAGACGGATCCATCAAAGTCAGCCCCAAACACTTCAGGGCTCAGTTACATGAAGTAAGTGTATTTATTTACAACGTGTGCAATTCAGTAATTTTCAAGATGTCGTCCTGCGTCAGTGCATACATTAGTGTCTTGTTAAATCCCATGTTACAAAAAAAGCACACTCACCATCATCTCATTGGAATCATCGCTAATGGCATCCATCGCCCTGGCGTACACCACCTCAAATCTCTCCGGGATGCCATAATACCTACACAAATACACGGGCCGCTGATATAAGGGTGAGCCCGCCAAATGACTCCTAGTTAGCTATCTATATAGCAATCTGGGTGAATTGGCTTGTAGAAGACGTATGTTTTGCCAACCGTCTCTGTCCACAGCCCGGAATTTAAGTCTAATCGAGTTGAGTATGAATGATAAGATATTCAAAATCATATTTGCAATTCTAGTTTTGTCCATGTTGCACGGCCATATCATAGACCAATCATGCCCGATAAGATGCAAAAATAGGAAAGAACGCCAAGAAAAGACAGACAAACACCTGGATACAAAATGACACACACGCTAAAAGGTCGACGATATTATGGCAAGAGCATTTACTTGCGCTGACCATAGGCCTTGGTGGCGTAATCACCCTTGTGGACGATCAGGTCCTGGGGACGGTAGTCCTCACGGCCAGAGAAATAGCTGTCCAGAATGTTCTTGGTACCCTCGGCATAGCGGATCTGAGCATCGATCGAAGTACCAGACATGTGAGGGACCATGGCGTTACCGCCGCCCCATGGGTGCTCGGCGTAGCGGAGAGGGTGATCCTTGGGAGCGGGCTGGGGGAACCAGACATCACCACCGTATCCGCGAAGGTGGCCAGACTTGAGGGCCTCGGCGACATCCTCCTTGACAACAATAGCACCACGAGCGGTGTTCACGAGCCATGAGCCTGAGTCAAGTCGTTAGTAAAAGAGGAGGAATATTGCAGAGAGGAAAAAGAAATACTCACCAGGCTTCATCTTAGAGATGAGCTCCTTGTTGAAGAGACCCTGGGTGCTTTCGTGGAGGGGACAGTTAATGGTAACAATGTCACACTGGGACACCATGTCGGCAAGGTCCTCAACACGGCGGCAGCCGATCTCCTTCTCGACCTCAGGGCTCAGTGCCTGGTAGTCGTAGTAGAGAAGCTCCTTGCAGTCGAAGGGCTTCAAGCGGCGAAGGACACGCTCGCCAATACGGCCAACACCGACAGTTCCCACCACCTTATTCTCAAGGTCGAATTCGTTCTTCGCGACAGCAGCAACATCCCACTCGCCATTGCGGATCTGGTCATGGGCGGGGACGAAGTTGCGAACCAGGGTCAGAATCGTCATCATAACATGCTCGGCCACGGAAACCACGTTGGAGCCGGTAACCTCAGCCACGGTGATACCACCGTTGGTCTTGTTGGCAGCATTGAGGTCGACGTGGTCGGAGCCAATACCGGCGGTGACGGCAAGCTTCAACTTCTTGGCCTTGGCGAGGCGCTCCGCCGTGAGATATCCGGGGTGGAAGCTGTGGTGGGTCAGTTAGCGCGATCTCGGTCGGACCGGGGAAAGTGACGTACGGAGTCGTAATGATAACTTCGGCATCGACAAGCTCCTTCTCGAACTTGGAGTTGGGGCCTTCCTTATCAGAAGTCGTCACCAGCGTGTGGCCCTGGTCTTCGAGCCACTTCCGGATGCCGAGCTCATTCTCAACGGTACCGAGAAGACGAGGTTGCTGCTTAGCATGTTCCTTGCCCTAAAAGAAGAGGCAATGTCAGCGTGCTCGGAATGGAAATGACAGCAGCGTGGTACTCCCACGATCAGGAAGGCCTGAGGAATATGAGACGAACCTCGTAGAGGACCATAAGAACTTTGCTCTGAGCACTGGATGAGCTTGAGAAAGTCCGGGCAGCCCGGCTGACAGGGCTAGCCTTCAGAGCCGGGTTGGAGATCAAACGAGACACAGAGCGAGCAAAAGGCATTGTGAAGAGGTGTTTTTGAATTGTGATGATTGACAAAGGACTAATTGAATGTCTGGTTCATACAAAAAAGTCCCTGAGATCCGTGAGGACTTGTGTAATATTTAAAGGGAACGCCACGAGGGGAAGGGAGGGGATGGGTTTGCATAGACGGACATATCTCGGATATCATGAGATCAGACCACACCCTACGCCGGCTGGTCTAGACAGCAAGCAACGTTGGAGGAGTAACAAACTTCTTTGCGGAGGTTGGTTCACGGCAGCTTCCCCTCATGAGGGGAACCGTTTTCCATTCTTGAAGGTGTCTCCGCACCTGCATCTGTCTCCACATATCCCTTGAGAAGCGGTGTTTCGTCTGATCATAATATGGAATTGCACCCTTAGACAAGTAATTTTTCCCGTAGTAAAACAACTCATGTTTGAACGCTCCAAAGCGTCCTATAATTGATCTCAACACCTTTCGTTACGTCGTTTACGGCACTTTGACGTTATGGATCCAGGAAATCGCCAAGAGGATCCACGTTCCGTCCCTCACGCCCCGAGTTGGGAAATACTAACCAGCCAATGGCCACCTAAAACCTCCAATTGGCCTCCAGAGGAAGCTTCATAGTTAACGGGCGCATCGAACGTTTCTTCCCGGATCTCATCCAACAGTACTCCTGCTGCATTGCCGCTAGATCATGACATGGACGACTCTGTATCTTCTACCAAATAACACCCGCCATACGCCGCCATAAACCTACACAGATTCACCCATAAGGAAAGGAAGACCTGCCATAGTTTCACAATAAATATATAAATATAGAGCGAGAGAAATCACGCACATATACACTTCGACTTCTGATGTACAATTCTCAAGTCTCAACGCGAACTACCCTCCGTCTGCGCTCCAACTATGCCCTGCAAACAACGTGCCGTGGAGGGCCGTGTCTGCCTTTGAAATTGTCGCTTACTACTATATCGTTTACGCCTGATACTGTTGGACAAATGCCTTAGTCGCCGAGAGTTATCCGAGTTATCGCCTGGAAAATAACTGAATTGGGGTCCGACAGAAGCAACTACTTCGCCCCGTACAAAATTACCTTGGGGTTGCAGGAATGCTCGGCGGCGACATGATTTCTTGACGAGATTACCATCAGAAATAGCCTGAATCAACCATGTCGACACAATTCCCATAGGATAGGTAACATGAACCGGCCCGATCAACGACCCACAGTGACCTGATCGCCCAGCGCCAGACATTCGACGAGTGGAACTCTTCCTTCCCCCCAGCGGCACCTTTTTTGCCTTCTGTTCCCGGGAAAAACTTCCCGGATTCTTGTGCACGCGGGGAAATCCACGATAGCATCCCCAATTTTTACTCCAACACCACACGGAGATACGGCACCTTCTGCAGAATGCGGGACGACAAAACCGTTCTCCACGTCGTCGACGACCAAAGGCGAACAATTTCCACAAGGTGTCATCTTCGGTAACATGGACATGCTCCGCTGCTGCCAATTGTCGAGGGTTGATCGACTGCGACCGTGTCAATTAAATCTGTCAGTGTTGTCTTCGTGGTATTATTCCCGGCATTGAGCATTGTCGCGCATTCGTGAAGATTTCGTGGGTGATCATCAAAGGCCGCTACATTTCGAGTAAAGTCGGCAGTCGTCAGAAAATGTTAAGTTCCCCATTTTCCCGACGACATTTTACCTGCGCCAGACACATTTCGACGCGCCGAATGGCCTAACATATTGCCATGGGCAAGGAATAGTAATCACCGGTTGAGCTTATGAGTTGAAAGAATTGTCCAACCCAAGTGGTCCGAAACCCGATCGCGACCGGGAGGTATGCATCGCGTGAATCTGCATGATCTGACCAGCCGTACCAATGCGATGGCAAAGATGTTTACCTTTCCAATACAGGCCCTACTTGTCGCTGAAGAGCATGGTCGAGGCAGCGTCGTGTGGAATCATGTTCAACCAGGGCTGAACAAAGACACGTGAGTAGCGCGATAGATATCAGCTGACGCGACCAGCTTCTTCCTTGAGCTTGAGGGCTATACATAGCCCTCTGGGACCTCTAGCCCTGCGATCCTCCATTGTGCCAAAAGTCCACGAGCCAGACTTCCTCTTTTGCCCGAGCCCACGGCCTTGAGCAGTAGCGAGGACTTGCCATAACCAATTCTGGTGTCAATGTGGTCTTTCGTAGCTCAGTCTCCTGAGCCCGAACTACGTTCGTATATGCAGATGGGTCGGGGAAGGAGATATAAGTTGGTGCACCAACCCATATACCCCTCCCAAAGCGCCGGTGGGTTTTGTCTATCTCCTTAGAGTATACCACTCCACGAGTATCATTGACTGGCCTTTACGACATAATCGGCCCTCGAAACTGTGGAGGATGGGCAAAAATTGCGATAGAACCTCTTAACAAGGTACAAGCCGCCGTTAGCTACAGGAAGCACCAGGTGATAATCCACATCGATGAGGCATAGTTGGTAACTAGAAGGGCAAATGGTAGATCGAATACGACCCTTGTGATGTCTAGAGCTAAGGCCTTAGCGAGGAGGAAATTGTAGAGGACAAGCAATCTTTTAGCTGCCAACCTATGCTTCAGGACGATGATAGTGTAAAAAATCATCACAGCAGCCTATATACCTTTTCGTAGTTGTCACGGGCGTACTTTGAGTTTTCTTCGCCTCGCTCCAGGGATTTAGAAAATGTCTTCGTGTCATGCTAAGCAGAGCTACCAGTAGCCATTGAAGTTTGAGCACGCAACGTTATTTCTTTTGATACAATTGTAATGATCAAATAAATCGATTATGATATCCGTAGGGGGACCACACTGCAGTGAGTCTCAGGGCAAACTTGTCGCGCTATGTCACATTCCTACCGAGCATGGAGATATATATTTGGAGAACCACTACAGGTAGTAGCAAGTTGCGTCTATGGCAGAGGCAACCATTGAGTAGCCCACACCAGGAACATGATAAAACAGTTCTGCAGACATTCACACAATGAATACACATCTTCTGTATCATACCAGGGAGCATTAAGACCACTTTGGCGTGATCATGGCAAAATAACTTCAAAATTCCATGTTGACAATCTTGGCCAATGCGGTCAGTGCTCATTCCATAACGAAGCTAACCCTTTAGAGTTAGACTCATCGCGCTTCTACGCGATTGTAACAAGTGTCTCATGTTTGTGATTATTCAATTATTATTATATGTAGTTATTCTCTCTATAACATAATGAGGTATCATCAAACACGTCGCTGCAAACTAATCACCAATTGATACAGCCATCCTCACTCCCTTACTCCGTATACCATCTTAACTTTTCTATATACACCCTGCCCTCACTAATGTCATCGTCCATCGCCCAAATCAGTTCAATTCGTGGGCGGCAACCTGCAAGAGGTTGTCCTCACCCAGGGCATTCTGAGTGTAGCGTGCGTTGTACTTAAGGATCTTCTTGACCTTGTTGTAAGTCTGCACGTTGAGAGGGAGAGGCTCGGTGCTGAGGTACCAGACAACCTCCTCAGTGCAGGGAGGGGTGGTAAGGGAACCGGTGTACTGGTAGACTCCGTGGCGAGTGAAGTGAGAACGAAGGCCCTCGAAGTCCAGCTCGCCGGTGGTGGTGTAAGTGCCGGCATCGGCGATGTCATCGATGTGAGCGAAAACGGAGTCGAAAAGGGGAACGGAGTAGCCGAACTCCGAGAGCTGGAAGAAGAAGCCAACGACAGCAGTCTCCTTGGCTGGAAGGAAATGGTCAGCGGGTATTTACATGACAAGACAGGATGATCGGGAACCTACCGGCAGTCTGGAAAACGAAGTGGACTTCCATGGGGAAGTATTCGTCGTTGACGCGGTGCTCACTGGGGGTATGGAAGTGGAACTGGGCCAGAGGGTAGGTCTTGTTGTTGGCCACCAAGGAGCCATTAGTCAGGACAACCTCGAGACCAGAGCCCAGGTTCTCGAACTTGGCGTTGTCGGCCGAGGGCAGGTTGAGCTTGAGGGAGCCCGATGCAGCATAATCGATGGCATCGGTGTCAATGACAATGGGCGACTGGTGGCTTCCCTTGGAGCAGGCCTCGTTGGCCTCATCAAGACCATACCAGTTCAAGGGGCCGCCGAGGTTGGTGTAGTTGAACTTGTTGATGTCAACCAGACCATCTGCCGCACGGCGTACGACACGGTTGGGGATGCAAGAGGCTGATGCCCCGGCAAGCAGAGGGAGAAAAGCAGTGATGAACTTCATGATGGATGAACAAAGAACAACAAGATAATTGGGTTGAAAGCAAGGTACCTACATGAGTGAGAGGCACTGTGCTACTTATACATCCCTGAAAGAAAACTTGTGGCACGTAACACCCTACTTCGGAGTACCGGTGATTGTCTTTCTACGCTCAGTCGAGATCGACGGCCCACAAGCCCTATTCTGCTTCTATGGCCCTTTCTTTAGTTGACAATGTTTCCACTCCAGATTCCCCGGGCCAGCACTTTGTGGCGCTAGGAAACCCCACAACACGGCTTATGGACCTACCTTTCATGAACTCGTCACTATGCTGCCGAGCGGATGGACAGGCTAGCTCTGTGGGCTGCTGAGATCTGGCATCGTGGCCCGAGATCGACCGGTGCAATAATGAAAATTTCCATTAAAGGTGAGAACCGGGAAGCACTAACATGGTTTCAATATTTAGATACACAGTAACAATAGCCTTGGCGTTTCAAACTCTTGACGGAATGTTGGGCCATGTGTTCGCCAGGCCCTAGAGGATGAATTACTACTGAGCGGGAGCGGGGCCATTCGTTTACTCTAGTATGTTCGCAAAGGGTTGTGAGTGCAAATGCTACGTCCCTTGAAATCCGATCCTCAGGGGTATGAGAATCGGTCAAGGGAGAGTTTGGATGGTGACAGACGGGATCTTCCACTGTAAACTTTTCGATAGTTCGAAGCTCTTCCACACAGGCCAGTTCACGATGACCCCTTTGTTATTCGTCTAGTGAACAGATTCGT